CTGAAGAAAGATCGAATACTTGTCAAAATTAGTCATATATTCCTTCTGACTAATGAAGTTTGTTATTTTCCCGCCGTTGATGTGTTTAAAAAAAGCGGGACTCATCGATGATGCTTTGTTAGGCGTACGTGTATACGGATATGTTACACTCAGTTTGTCAGGCAGCCATTAAACGGACATCTTCCTTCCTCCATTTCAACAATGACGAAGGTAGGAAAACTATGATATCATATGAAGTTGTTAATTGACATGAGTTATGAAATGAGAGTACGGTTGTGAGGGAAGAATAAGCTGTAGCCTATAGATACCGAGTGAGACTCTTACAAATTTTATGCTTGTACTTAGGCACATCTTTATGCTGCAAAACCGTATGCGGCAGGCCTAATAGATACGTATCAGCCATGTCGTTGTGCAATTTCTTTGCAACACACTAGTGAGTTTGTTGTGCCAAACAATTCTTGTACCAATTCCCAAACTAAATACACTAAAGATAGGAGGGGAACTATACATGATTAAGAACATTCCACGATTTTGTTGATTTTGAAATATGGACATTAAATTTTGAGTAAAAAAGACACGAGGAGAAAAATAAATAATATGCAACAAATAAAGAAAGATTTTCTCTGTGTGTTTCTTTTGCAGGTGTGATCATGATCATGCAGTGGTAGATGCAAGGAGCTAAACACTGGCCCTGTGATCCAACTGCACAACGAGTGAGATACAAGTCAGCTGTGACCCCATTGTGACCCGGAGATGTACACATTATGGTGTACCATTAAGGACACTAGAACGGACACAAAAAAGTGCTAATTCAGTGGATATTGTCTGGACTAAAGTGTGATTAGTCAGAAATTCAGTTACAAATCGCGCAAGTCGCTTGACTACAGATTAGTCGTATCAAGCAGGTTTCTATTCTTGTCATATGACTATATTTTCTAGTCTGAGTCTGACTATTGACTAATCTATAGTCATTAGTCATCAATACTCTGTGACTAATTTAGGTAAGTCGTACGAGACACTGGACAATTTTTTTTAGTCAAAATGACAAATTAATTTTTAGAGTGTTCCCAAGTCGTGACTAGTTTAATAAAGAGATCACAAAATTCAGCTGTCCACCACTAATACCAATTTAACGGTCTACGAATTGATGAATATCAATTAATAAATATAATTTTAAAAAACGTTTTCCCGCCTCCACGAATAAAGGAAAAATTGAAAAGGAAAATCGAAAAAAAATCACCAATATTTCTAGGGAAAAAGAGTTGAATTGTTCCCCATATTCACAATACAAAATCTGACGGTAAAAATAATGTTTCAGTCTTGATTCATAAGATTTAAATCTCAGTTGTATTTGGAATCAATGAGGATGGCTATATAGTGCTTGTTTCAACATATCATCCAACAATAAAAACGAGAAATAAGAAGAGGAGCAATGGTTATTGGACTATGCCTCACTCACTAGAAAGTGAAGAGAGACATGTCCATTAGCATCACACTGCAGTCACATTTGCCCTAAACTGATTCTTTACTTAACCCTAAAAGGGCCGGGGGCGGAATCCGCCCCCCCCCTCACTTTTTGGCTGGTCTCGACTCGAGACCAGCCAAAATATCGAGACCAAAGGGGACCGAGACCGAGATCAAGACCGAGACCACAGCTCCCGAGACCGAGACCGAGACCGGCAAAAAGTGGTCTCGAGACCGAGACCGAGACCGAGACCGGTCTCGAGACCTACAACACTGCTTTCGCCCGCAAGTTTTGTGTTCTGGGAAGAAACACAACTTCAGAGTATAATTATCTTGGGTGGGCCTATGAGTTTACTGTCTCATAGAAAAATGTTGCCTTCAAGCTTGCCGGGTTTTTTTTCAATACAAAAAGGCCTGTTTTTTGTTTTGTTCAGTAGCTATAGTTGCCTACAGCCTTTTGACAGTTTTATTATTAACAGTCTACTACGTGTTTTATGGTGACGATGTACATGTGTGTTAACAGCTTCTGTCATTGATTTATCAATGAAGTCTGGACGAAAAAGGAATAATTTAACGTCCCTCTCTCTCTCCTCTTATTACCAGCTGTCACGATCGATGGCAACCGGTGTCACATAGAATTCCCACCGCTTGAAAATGATGGACTTGACTACGACTACAAGTACATGCAGGAACATCATTTAAATCACCGATTTCTGGTGATGAAACAAAAATCAAAAGCACCCTAAAATGACATTTGCATGGTAGTGCTGGGACACGTTAATAAAATTTAGTGACAATAAGCAACATCGTTTGAAAACCGTGCATGCTGGTGTTGCGTATATCGCGTTTCGAGGGACACGCGCGTTCCACTTATAGTGTTTGGATTCTCTATGACATGCGATTCTGATATCATTAATCTTCAGACAGACAGCATTTTGTATCAGTTACAAAAACATAATGAAATATTTAAATAAAACGATATTTTAAAAGTGAGAAAGCAGGAGAAAAATCCCGCACTCAGTTGGTCAATTCACAAAAGCATAGGCAAAGCACCTCGGCGTCTTCCGAAGATATCCTATAAACCTCTAGGCCTATTATTTTGTCCTCGGCGCAATGAGTCAATGATTAGAGTGCAAGCAACTTTAAAAAAAATCGCCTTGAAACGGCCAGTGTGTGAAATTCATTTCTCGTCGTGTTGGAGAAACCAAGCGAATAATGTCTTGGCGCGAAATATCCATTATGTTTTCTTTTTTAGGGCCGATCCTTTTCTGTGGCAGCCAGCCGCGGAACTAAGGGGCACGTGACTTGAATAGCTTTACGACTTGTTAATAATCTACAGATAGGCGTTGCTTTATAAACTCCCGGCACGAGAATTAAAGCAATTGATAGGGGGGGGGGGGGTTAGACATTGGCTCGCCTTGTGACGAGACAGGTGTTTCGGCCATCTGCTACTGAATTATTATTCCTGTAAAAATAGGGATGCCGCAACTTTTTTTCACAATTGTGTTTGTGAAAACGCAAGCACGGTTGTCAAATCCGATACCCGATGGGGGCGACGACACATAGCATGGAACGTATTAAAGCTTCCCTGCAGTAGTTATTTCTGAAAGTGATGAGTTTAAAGTACTCATTAACCTGAGTGAGGCTGAAGCGGTGTGACGACGACCCGTTCTGCTCTCTTAAAGGGAATATACAACATTTGCAAACATCAAAAAATAAAACTACCAAATTATTATGAAATACCTCACTGGACTGTTAGTGAAAGACAGTGTAAAGCAACCTGTAAAATCATGGCACCTGGTATACTGTCATTTTTTTTTAAAAAAGTGGTTTTTTTGTATCATTTTCCAACGCTGGTCGGCCGATCAGCGTTGGAAAAAAACTGGCTTTTTTTCAAATACTTGCCCCAATTGACCATCGCATTTGTTTGCAATCGATTACACACCTATGAACGGGTACAAGCTAGCTAGACTGGTTCCCTGACCTTACAATTCCCCAATGTATATAAACTGCTCCGTTTCTTCTTAAACGGAGTCAGGGAACCAGACTACAGGAAAATGATTGTTTTTCTTGGCTTTTATAGCATTTTTGAACCCAAAACTTAAAAAAAGTCAGTGTAACAATATTTGCTATATATTACCAACCCCCCAATTCCATCCATTTCTGAACATTACAGCAAAAGCAAATGATGTATATTCCCTTTAAGCGATGCTGACTATTATAGGTTATCGCACTAGCTCCCATCAACAAGTCGCTAGCACTCTAAACAAATTGGTTGTCTCATTTTGGAGAGAGTCGCGTGGGAGTGGGCGGGGGCTGTAGACTCCTCACGTGAATATCGGAGGACACAAAGTCTCACCGAGAGCATATATCTCTCTAAATGTAAAAGAGTGCCAAAAAAAACCCCGTCTTTTACAGTACAGAGCCAGGCGGGACAACTCTTTTTGAGTATTTTCCCCCACTCTTTTAAAGAGAAGTTTGCAGGATTTTGACGGGAAAATAGCGAACCTGACTACATCAGGAGGCATTGGGGGGGGGGGGGGGGGGGGTTGCTGCTGCACCCCCAATAGCCTTTCACCAAGGCCATCGTGTTTTAACTTGCCCGCATTCAAAGCGGCGAAAACAAGCCGCGACTGGAGATGGAGACCACACATGCGAGTGGCAAAGCCGCGAGGCTTTGCCACTCGTGCGTGCTGACTTAATCTTTGCTCCAGTCGCTTCGGGTCTTCGCAACTCCGCCGCTCTAAGCCACGATGGCCTGGGCGAAAGGCTACACCCCCAACTTTTTGGATTGGGGTGCTGGAATATGCTTCAGCACTCCTACCCGGGCTAAAATGTGTTCCAGCCAGCAGTGTTTTACGACGATGAAATTGCGCCGCTACGCATTATGCTTGCTCTACAAATATCTCCTTCGTTGGGGGGGGGGGGGGGGGGGGGGGGCGCTCTTCAAAACCAATGATTATATGCTAAACATACATTATGTGCCCATTTTCAGGGCGTCTTGTATGGGTTTTGGGACTTGGTTTTCATATTCCTCGTTTTAGATCAAAAATATCTCTACCATAATTGGGAAATGGTTACTTCTAAGAAATAGTAAGATACTTTAGGCCAAAAAAAAAGTCTCCGGTTTCTGGTATGGAGCTTGCCAAAAAAGTGGTGCGGCCACGCGGCTTTTTTTTTTTTGCCTGACTTTTTTGCTTCAAATGTCGCCTGATGACTGCAAATGGTGTCCGACTAAACTTAGTGCAAATATATGGGAGTCCAGAGAGGCCATAAAGCTTATTCTCGATCATAACCCAATCTAAAAACACGTTAAAATTGTGCAGCAGCAGGATTCCAGTCAAACCAGTGAGTTTGGCGGTTTTGAGACATCATCTTTCATTGACAAAAAAAACTGTTTCATTTTGCCGACGCGCATGGCTACGGCGACGCGCGCGCATACCAGAAACCGGAGACTTTTTTGTTTTGGCCTTACGGTCATCCTGCACTGGATTACAATTGAAAGTCGTTCAATATACTTACATTATGAACGTTGGAGTGTCTGACTCTTGGTGGCGCTATTCATGACATGTACCGATTTTTGCCATTATCCTATTCCTATTTGCATGCTTTGAAGTGTGAGTAAACGCTGTTAAAATCTCCAATAAATCGTAACTTGGTTAAGTATCTGAGTTATTTGATTTTCAGTATTGGTATTTAATAATCACAGGAACAAGATCACGCCTTCTGCAATTATTATTCTGCCCCGATTAGCTTATATTAAATGAATCAAGAAAGATAGCATGAATCGTGAAGGATCAAGGAACAATTGTTGACTAGCTAGCCCAGTACTAAAGTCAAGCAACAATCGCCGAGTCGGCCTGGTAGTCTTTGACTTGTCATGGTTGTCGGTAGTCAATCATTTAACCAATCCAGCTACCAAAGCACTCTGGTTGGGTAGTCCATAGTGCAGTTATAGATATTATATTTGCGAACGTCTATCTCTATGTCCTACTTGTTTTTGACTTATTTTGCATTTTGAATGGGAAAGACAAAGAAAATGAAAATTCTGAACTACTCAAAACAAAGTACAATATGGCTCTTGTGGAATGTTTCAGTAGGGTGTACCTCCAGCCATCGATCGCTGAGATTCATGGAGACCATACAGCAGAGAAGTCAATCTCTGAAAGAGCTGTTACTGAAAGCTTGGAGAGAACGCTGGTCTGATGTCCAATGGAGCACCCACATGAAGCGAATACTGCCACCAGGGGTGTCAGGAGATGCTTACAAACTTACAGGTGGGGGACAGTCATTGTACTGTAGCCCTTTTCACACTAGAGCCTTTCAACCCAGGTTGAACTCAACCCTGGGTGAACCCAGTGCCGCCGTGAGTTGAGCTTTTGTTTGTTCAACCCGCGTTCATTTCACATTTCTTCAGCTGCTGCTGTTCAGCTACTACACGCTCAGCTACTACTGTTTTGAACCCTGGCGAGAGTTTCAAACCTAGTTGAAAATCTCAACCCTGGTCTGGAGCAGGGTTGAGTTCAAGCCAGGGTGGAATCAATCTCATGGCTGAGGGTTGACGCAAGATTGAACATTTTCAAGTGTGAAATGCTGCATATTTTCAACCCTGCGTCAACCTCGTATCAACCCAGAGATTTGTCTAGTGTGAATAGGCCTTTATTAATGTTCTGGTTCAAAATCTCCCACTGAAGACAAGTTTTGTTATTGAAATTAGTGACAATGAAAGTACAAAGCTTCTAATCATTGTATCACAGAGGAACAAAGATTTGTTCTCAGTGAGGGCACTCTATGCAAGGGGTCTGTTATGTTTTTAATCTTGACCCTTCCTCATTCCACATTATACATACTTGATTAATTATATTTTTTAACAAATACTAAATAGTGCAAGTGTATCCCTGCAAATCAACTTATTAATTATAAACATCTCTCTTGTTCAAAGCTTTTTTCCCCATTCATTTACAGATATTATTTTGACGCAGGCCTTTGTTGGACCAAACCCAAACAGTCTAATGCTGTCCTATCTCAAACACATCATCGTATCTCAGGTAAGAAAATGAGTCTGTCTTTCTGTGGTTTTCTTTTTTTTTCAGCTCCCAAGTTTTCTAAAAAGTCAGCTCTCTGCCTCATTTATCAAAACCTGTATTTAAACTCATTGAGTGTTGTTCCTTCGTTCCACAGGTTGTCTCACACACTGCAGTGCTTTCCACTATCATTGAATATGAAACGGTGTGCATTACCAGACCTTACTGTATGAGGGGCCTGTTGGAAATACTGAATGGATGTATCAACAGAATCAAGTATGTATGTGCATGGGCCCATCAGAGTACAATGCCATATAACTAGAGCAATTCCTGATTTAAGAAGTTGTGACTTTCTCCAAGTGTCAACAGTGAACAATTACAACATATAAACTGTATTATTAGGATCAGATTATGAAAACTAAAGGACTGAACTGCCCTAAATCCCCACAAATGGTTTGGCAGTAATTTTACTGCTTTAGTATTGTAGATACTCAGCACCATAGCTTCACTTTTCATCAGTTTTGGCCTCTGTTGGGCTTTAGAGACAAATCTTCCAGCAACTATTGGTGTGTTTTCTTGTCCAGTTGCCAGGGATCTATGGAGGAATGTCTAACCCTCTGCCAATCCTTTCTTCAAGTCATTCATTGGTTGCTTCATTCCATCACCTTAATGCTGGATAAGATGCCAGACATGAGAGATCTTCAAGTCATGGCTTCCAATCTAGACATCATCAGTGAGATTCTACGCATCACTTGCACCAGTAGGGTCAATAAACTGCTGCTGTTCGTTGCCAAACTTGAGGACAAAGGTTAGTGTGTGTCAAAAATTGAGATGCCGCTCTTACATGAGACAAGCAGGCCACATTGTGAGAAGGTCACAAGGATTGATACTTTCTCATGCTTATATGTCACATTTCCCTCTCCTTTTCAGCAACATGGACAGAGATTGAGGAGACAGTGTCAAGCATCAGGACTACACTATTTGCAATCCAGTCACAGCAGTCTCAAGAACAACCAACTAGGAGTAAGCTCACAGATGAAATTCAAAGTAAAGCAACATAGAAGTACACTTTAATATTTGGCTTTGCAGTTAAAGCCGACAAAATTGCAGTGACAAAACTCAAATGACCTTTGAATAATTTGTAAATCTTTGTCGATGTCTTTGGGAGGTGGGAGTTCTCAACTGGACCAGTTTCTCAGCGCACCGAGGACAACACATGCATCTCAAGGAGCTAACAAGAAAGACAAAGGAGAACGCACAACAGAATCTATCAGAGAACGACTGGAAAGGAGTCTACAAGAAGTCCTGAGGTAGGAGTACACCTGGGCCACGAGTCATGAAGCTGAAGCAGGAAATAATATGCAGGGTTATGCAAACGTTGGCTGTAGGAGAGAAACCTGTTTTGCTCAGGGAGACTTACAGTCAATGGGCTGCTATGTGGGGCAAAATGAGAATATCACAACTACGAACATTATCCTTAAACCTTCACTTGGTTGTGTTTTATTTCCTGCAGGCTAGCCCAGTTAGACAGCAGTCCCAGTCCATGCAGTAACAGCCTTGAGTTAAAGACTATGAGTAGCTGTATAGGGGTCATGACCTTCATGGAGGCAGCCCTCAATGTGACTGGTGACCTTCAACCTTTTGTTGATCAGCTGCTGTTAGTAGAGCAACTACAGGTCAGTGGTATGGAGCTTTCCTGTCTGTCAAACAGTTTAGCATTGAACAATTAGATCGTGACTTTTTGTCAGGTGACAGTGGTAGCTCAGTCAAACTCGGTCACATGCTCAGTAAGAAATCTAAACAAACTAATGGTGGGCAGGACTTCAACTGAATCTGGAATGGTCCGTTGGCATATAAATTTCTTGATAAAATCTGTCATCATTTGTCACAGTTAGATGAAAGTATCGAGTTTGCGTTGACATTTCCACAAGAGTTTAGAGTATTTGTACTTGACAGAACCTTCCAAGAGCTAGTGTGTATCTGGAGTTATGCCAAGCCAGTCTGTTGGGCCTGATTGATCTACCAGATACGTGTGAAGAACTGAAATGGCTCGCATTCACTTTCATAAAGGTAAGACCAGAAACTATCAGTACAAAGCAGTATACAACATCTTTGTTGTTGATTGATGCTAAGATTCACGTTTTTCCCAAAAAAACAATGGGTAAAACACCCTTTGTACACACCAACTTCTTGTAGGACAAGCATACCGTTTCCATGAAAACGCCAATGGTTAATGACCCCCCAGCAGTCTCATATTAGGGCATGTGACAGCCCCTTGGAGATGCAACATACCATGGACCACACCACAGCAGACAACAATTTGCATGTGTTGTAGATACCTTTGTATTTCATTTCTCCGTCTCTGACAGTTGCCACAGATCCTTGCCCGTATGAAGCAGAGCCCATCTCCCAGAGACTCAACAGACAGTGCTTTGCATTTCATCAGTTGCTTTGAGCAGTTGCTGCGCTTCAATGTATTGATCGATCAGGCCGATACTAAACACAAGTAGGTCCACCACTTCACCATATCCTTATTTTTTTGTTCTTGAGCTAGAAGAGTTAGACTCGGATACTGCATTTGTTCTGTCTTGCATATATTCAATCTGTATGTACGTGCACTGCACATTGTCTTTTGTCTTGTACAGCTGTGATTGCATGCAGCAGTTACTACAACAGTGCAGTAAGCTGGGACTGATCACAGAAAACCAGCTCAGAGAACTACTGGCAGCAAGGTAACTATTTAACTATTGCCTACCCACCTGATATCAGATTGTTAATGTTCAACTATTGCCCACCTACCAGATGAAGATATTTCCTATTGTTAAACCTTTCAGTCACTGTAGTGCTGAAACTACCCTGCCAATTACTCACTATAGCGCCCCAAACCATCTGAGCAATCTACGTTTTTGTTGCTTCTTCAGTGAATAAACACAATGTAATACAAAGTAGTTCAGGTGCTAATGGGTTAAAATGAGCAATTACCCACAACCTTAGACAAACACATTACAAATTGTATACATGTATGTTCAACTATTGCCCACCTCCCTGAGACAAACGCAGGCGATCAGAGTGACAATATTTAACTATGGCCCATTTGGTTTTGTTTTTAAATCGCTTGCAGATCAGCAACTCGTAGAGCCCCAGTACAGAGCAGAAGCAGTGGCCATGGATCTCATGAATCACCCCAACAACTTCCCAACAGTACGCTGGTCATCAGGGCAGAACCTACCTCAACCAGCATACTCAAGGTCAAACTCAATTCAGCAATTTAGTTTCACAGTGTCTGTTACATGAAATTGAAAATACCCACGCAACCATCTCTCGCTGTCAACCACACATCATTTGACCCGGGACATTATATTAACCCTTTCAATTAAAAGCTGAAAGAAAAACTGCTGCCAGCACTCTTTCATACAAGTGGCAAGTAAAAGCAAAATTTGTTACATTGTATTTGAAGAGTGTCCTCTCATTTACTTTTATGTGACTTCTTTTTGAACCCCCTGTAGAAATGGGACATGGACTATTCCAAGAATCCTGATGAGCTTCTGGGGGTTCTTGGTCACATGATGTCTGGCAAGAGTTTTGAATTAATCATTGCCGTGCTGGCAACGACGGGAAAACTGAAGAAATTCACAGCCAAACTAATCAAGTAAGTTTCAGTGGTAGAAGCAAGAAATAAACCTAATGATGATGGTTCCTTCTTTGACTGTTCATGTCATTATGTGCCGAGGCCCAATTGTCATCTTGTATGTGGGTTCGAACCCTGACAGGGTACATGGTGCTTGTGTTCTTGGGCAAGACACTTGACTACAGTTCCCTCTCTCCATCCAGGAGTATAAATGGGTACCTATGAAGGTAGAGGCCAGACTGTGCTGATTTTTAACTGCTTCCGAAAACTTGTCTCGTGGCCTGATGAACAGGGCAATAATTTTGAAGTGCCTTGAGTCCCCAGTTTAAAGTGATATACAAGTACCATAATAATTGTGTAGTCATCTTGTGGAGTTGACTTTCAATTTTCTGTGAAGGTTCAATGAGCAGGCATGCAAGCAGACTCAAGCCGAGGTCACCAAGGGGTCACAGGTCAGGGCAGCTCTGTTTGATATTTCCTTCCTCATGCTGTGTCACATCGCTCAACTCTACGGCACCGAGGTAAATCCTACATAAGGCCCATCAGTTGTAAAAGATTCTTCAACCAAAGTCCCACGTCTGATGTAGTTTAATTTCCCCTCCACTGCGGCACTTTGGAACTTCATGTCAGGTTCTTGTATCCTGCATAGCACGACCTGCCATTATTCACATCTTCGGTCCTTTGAAAAAATAAAAGGCCACAACGACAGCATTCAGTGAACTTTTTTTCCAATCAGATGGTGACGTCTAACGGTGGCGATTCATTTTTTGAGACATGGGTTCAGCAGTGTATCCCTGATGATAACGGTGCTAAGCCACTAGGATCCTTCCCAGCTGTGGAGCCATCCAAGGGAGATGTACTCTTGAGTCAGTATCACTCAGGAATGGACATCAAGACAATGTGAGTAGGCGTCGACACTCACCTGCCTGTCAATCAAATAGTGCACATTGACCAATTAGATCAGGACTTTTGGTCAGGTGACCACGTTACCTCAGTCAAACCAGGACACACGCAGTGTGAGAAACGTACACAAACCAAAGTGGGCGAGCTTATTGTGAAATCTGGTCCAGTCCACTTTACAAAGAGATGAATTTTCTAAAAATAAAAATAATTGTGTATTACATGTGTGTGTGATGTGGCAGTCATGTGCGCAAATCCAATACTCAAGGATGTCTGCACTAGTAAGCAGGGGGTCGTGGGTTCGAGTCCCACCCAAGTGATATTTTCTCACAATCACTCCAGATAACACTGAATAGACAGTGTTTATGAAAACAAATACGTCGGTAAAGGGCAAAACCCAATGTTGAACTCAAGGACCTGTTTGCTTTGTTTGTCCGACAAGCACGTGAGGCTGCAAATACTGTCGCTGTCTCCAGTTAAGCAGAGAATTGGCAAAAACACTACAGTATGCACAACTGAGGCTGTTTTTACTTGATTGGTTGCAGGCAAGCTCGTTGGAACGAGGTCATTGACACCATGCCATACATCATGCAGGAGGTCCTATTTGCCTGGGAGAATGGAGCTACAAATGTGGATCAGATACAAGTAAGTACTTGTGAATCAGAATAGGCAAGGAACTCACAGAGCTGGTTCCATTGAGGATCATTCGTTGTCTAATATTTGTGAGACCTTCAAACAATGGTCAAAATGTCATAACAAAACTTCTTGCCGTGCACTATGATGCACCCTGCTCTGGTGAACATTTACAGCGATGCAACTGACCTCAGTGTGTTAGTCTGTGATCGCTTAGCATGGATAAGAGCAAATGTAACGGACAATGTTTTAATCACACTGATTCTTGCTCAAACTTGCACATGTAACTGCAGAATTTCATTTGTTTCTGTGTTATGAGGAAGAGTAACATTGCATTTAAAAACGTTGAACAAATTTTCCATTCTATCCACAGAAGCTGATTGACAATGTTGCTAGCAAGCTATGTTGTCTTCCCATCTGCTGTGTGGCCTGGTTGTGTAGTCACATAGCCGTCTTGGCATCTACTGAGCGGAACAGGGCCCTCAGCTTACTACAAATTATCTGCTCTCATCAGGCTTCTAGTCAGTTGGGTGTGCCGCTGCAAATCTACGACAATGAGAGGTAGACACAATCTCTCTTCTGTTTTTTTTAATCATGTGTAGAATTAAAAGATTCTTCAAGCAAAAATATGAGTGAGTGAAGGTCAGGCATACAACTGGAAAATTAGGAAAAACGAGGAAAGTCCAGACCACACAAGACTTTGTACAGTGTTTTTCAATTTGTAATGGCATTCATGATAAGTAAAAAAAAAAGAGGAAATCGGCAGATCCGAGGAAAAGTTGCATGCCTGTAAGGTTAAAAAGTATGATTAACGAAAGCATGGTTTAAAACAATATAGGGGGAAACAATGCAACTATGTGTAGCTCATTGTGTGGCATGAAGTAATGTGCTGGGGACTATTTTCTTGGTTTTTATTAATTACACAGGAATGCCATGATGCAAATTATCATCAGGAAGATGTGTAGCACCAGTCCTGTCACAAACCCGATGGCCAAAACCAGTCGAGATGTCCCCTCCTTGCCCCCTGCCACCCCCGCTACACAAGTGCTGTCATCCGTCTTTGCTGAGATCATGGACAAGGGTTGTGTTGATAGGAGGACTCTGGCCCTGGTGGACCAGTTGATTACTTGTGGAGGGGTGTTGTGGTTCTGCCGAGGGGTGGTGTTGGAGATTTGCTCCTTGCATTGCAAGAATGACCTCACCATGGCTGGTAAGCCTGAAATGAATTCACAATTTGAGGCAATTTCCAAGACGGGCTTCCAGAGCTATGGCTATGTCTTTTGTCAACATGTTTAATACCAGTTACTTGCAATTATCAAAGACCTAGACAAGCGATTGGGACATGTCAAGTAACCACAAATAATTCTGTGGATCTTAAACACATCGGGTGAATTTTTCGTTTTGTAGTTGAGGTGGCTTTTGCCCTGTTCCAAGTGGACATCGAACAGCTGACCCTGACGCTGACGCGGAAGGTTCTGCCACGAATCCTCGCCGACCCGTTGAATTTTGAGAAGCTGAGTAACCCGCGAGGCCATGCGTTGGCGAGACTGACCGTGTGGTGCATTGCGGCAACACTGACAAACCACACCAGCTCAAGAGGTATTTAATACAGTATACAATGGAAGTCTGGTGGTCCATGGCATTTTTCCGCCTGTACAAATCCCATCGACTTATATCACAAAAAGAAACAGATGTTTTGTTACACCTTCGTGTTGTTTCATAAACTTTCAATTTTTAGAGTAACACACGTGTCCTTTTCAACCATTCAAGGCGCGAGGACATTATTGAAGGTAAAGAGATTCCATGGAAAGTACATTTACACTGGAGCTTGGTCCCCAACAGATATTGATGATGTAATTTGTTCTACTGTTGTAGATTCTAAGTGTAAGGAGAGTCCATTCCGTCTTCTGAGAGGACGCAAGAGACCTCGGATGGACTTGGACAGAGAGGTAAGCGGGAGGAATACAGGGAGGACCCAGACGCAGCTATCAACTTCCAAGTCAGTTTGTCTGAGAAGCTTCATGACTTACACCTAAAGAACCACCACCTTTACATGAAAAATAAGTGGCTAGTAACTGACAAGGATTAGACTCACCCTGTTGTATATATACTCTAATCGACGTGCTTTAAACATTTTAAAACTTAATCCTTTAGTGTGATGGCTTAACATTTTAAGATGTTGGCTTGCAATTCCAAACCTTCACAGAAAACACTCAAGCAAAATGGGAATGGCCTCACAACTTTTGCTGTAATTCTCTTCGGTAGAGTCAACAATGTGTTTTACTGTTACTGAACCCACAGGACTCCAGTGTTTTGAAGGATGAAGCCAGACCATCTAAGATAAGACGATTGTTGAGTGTTGGTGATGAAGACAACGCAACGAGCACACTAACAGGTCAGTTCAACAGGCATCCAACCAACATCAAAACAAAACCATGCTTTATATTTGAAGTTGCGAGGTGGATAGCTACATGTAACTATGTATAGTTCAATTTATTAGCCTTCTTTTAGTTTGAATTCTTCAAAATTATGGGTTAAAGCAATGGCATAGTATTTGAGCCAAACTAAAACCCAAGATAATCTAAGGTATTTAAGCATGAATAGCTGTTGGCGTGTACACTTCTGCAGCCATCCAGTTGCTGGATGTTGGTAGATTGTTGGTAGTTTGGGTTATCATCAGTGTTGATCTCTTCCCACAGGCTCTGTCAATTACAGCACTGGCTTTCTGGTTGCTCAGACTCTACAGCAGTTGAATGAACCGTTCCCCAGAGCCCTCGGTGAGAACAAATATCATTTTTTTTCCCTGAAAAGAAGCTTTCCTTTACTCAGTCCAATGTCCGTTACCTCTGATGATACCTATCATACAACAAACTAGTATCAAACAACGACAGTGTCGTAGTAAACTGGAGTCAACAAGTACAGTCACAAGAAACAAAAGATGATAACAAACGAGTGCCTTGTCACTTACTTAAATAGCTTACGACTTGATGTACGACTGGATGACTTGTGATGGACTTGTGATGGACTTGTGAGAACTTGTATGGACCCGACCAAAAAAAACCACTCCACATGGTTTTCCGTATTCTAACATAACTAAGTGAGAATTTTTGTCGTCTTGTCAGTTTCTTTATTTCAGCTGTTTTCGTCATTGATGTCTAGTAGCATGATTGGCCCGAGGACAGAGTTTGTGATTTCCTTCATGACAGAGATCATACACTGCAGTGAACACATTGCCTCTGGGGTGCTTCAGTTTGCACCAATCACAATGGTCGGTTCATTATCCAAACATATCCCTTGCCAAAAATTCAAATGTTCAAGAAGTAGGTCAGTTAAGTTTTTTTAATTTAACTCTTTGTACCACTAACAATCTGTGTTTTAATAATTAAAAATTAATTTGTGTGCATGAGAATGAGCAACAATTTAGCTATGGTTAAATTTCTATTTCGCTGATTTTTGTTTCTTTTTTGTTGCAGATGTCACAAATGTTGAATACATCCAGTGGTCAATTTCTTTTGGACCTAGCCTTAGCCATTGGTCGAGTGGATAGCGTTGTGGCTAGACGGCTTGCTGCTAAGGCTTTGTGCCACAATAAGACTGGACGCTTCTAAGCCCTTCTTTGCAGGACCAGAGGTTTACTTTTTTTTGGACAAATTGGTCATATGACTTGATGTTTATTTCGAGGTACAATCATGCACAGTTTAATTTACATTTCTGTATAAATTGAACTGATATTGGATATCTCTGTATTTTTTAGGAAAGGGGGGGGGGTAAAAGTTACAACAGTGTAGTAAGAGTTTGCACTTATGCACCATCATTTTTTTTGGAACTGACCTTATTATTTGTCATCGTTTTCCTTTCTTGGTATTTATATTGGCATTAAAACTGCCAAAATTCCAAATATGTCTTGCTTTCTTGCATCATTGCAGTTTCTATCTGTACTGAATAATAGAATTCTGTCAAAACACCATGGAGTAACACAGCAAAGGAATTTATTGTCGAACTTGTTAAGGGATTTCCATGAATAAATACCAAATAAAAATACTGCAGAACATCTTTCAACTTGTCGCATTTTCTCACTATGGATAAATAATAAAGTAACCCATATTTTGTACAAACATCGTACATTTACATTGACAAAGGCCATATTGTGACCATTTTGTTTATGTACATTATTTACACCATCCACATAGTTGCATCACTTGCATTTTGTTGTTTTGTGGCTTTCTTATCAACACAAAGCAATATGGAGTATAGTAACTAACTGAACGTTTACACGTTGCATATGTAACTATTTACATGTAACTGTGAGCCAAATGTTAACGGAATTTTGTCAACCAAAACAAGAAACAATTTCGTTTTGGTTGGAAAAAAATAAAAATCAGAAACAATAATTTTCTTTCCTATATATAATGAATAAGTATGAGTGGAACTTTAAGAAAGCGAACATTAATTGGAACTATCTTGATTATTTTCATGGAATGGTGCAATTGAAAATGGTGTTTCGGACGTTACATCTTCCGTAAACAATCTTGCCCCTCATTTGACACACTAGGACTACAATTAATTTATATGATATCAGTATTAAGATACACTTTCTGGTTACCCCATTCCTATGCCTAAAAAGAAAGTAACATTGTTTTATTGCAGTGATGTTGTTTAAAACTTTTTTCATCAAATGAAAAAGTTATCTCATTTTCCGTTAACAGTTTTGTAACGTCCGAAACAATTTTAATTTTGGAGTCTCAAAAAATAAAGGAATCGCAGAACCTATTTCTTATTTCACTTTGGGAGAGACTCAAGGCAGCTTCCCATCACAGCATAACATAAGGCAGTATCTAGTTACATTATCATTATATCAGCAAAACAAATTTTCTGTTAACAGTTGTAACATCCGAAACAAATGTAACGTCCGAAACAAAAAAATACCATTTCTCAAAGTAGAGGGTACCTGAAGTGAATCAATCCTCATAAAATAAATCACTGTTAGTTTTAAAACAAATCTATACATAAATTAGATCATTGATATCCAACAAATTTCTTGTAGCACAGGAACTTCGTTTCGGACGTTACACAGTTGTTGTTAACACAAAATTGCCATTTTTCATGCATTTTTTTTTATTATATCAATATTTTGGGATTCTTTCATTGTTTTATCTTGTCAAGAAAACTATTTGAATCATTTTATTCAGTTTTAAAAGTAAATATAACATGCATTTGAAGCCAAAATCCAAATTTACTGTTAACTTTCTAAGCTTTCTACTATATTAAATTGGTAACAATGAAATGTTTAAAGACACTGTATGTGATGCATGGCATTGCTGGATTGTTAAAAAATAAACTGTTACTTAAACTAAAACAATGATAACCACAACTACTCATCAGAATTCTTGAGCCATATAAATAATACTTTCTGGGGTATTGTTGTCGTGTTTCGGATGTTACAGCATAGTGTTGACAAACATTTTTAACGTCTGACAAGTTAAATGAGGGAAAACTCTTACATTAAAAAAAATAGATTTCAACATTTTAAGTCCCACTGTTGTGTTTTGTTTTTATATTTTATTAGGTCTTGTTTCTATGAAGGTAATTCCAACTTATACAATATATTAAAGTAAAGTCTATTTCTCAATTCCTGTATGGCAATTTTACACTATAGTACACGGAATTTAGATCTAGATTATAACTTTCTGCATGCATGCTGGTCACCTCTATTAACAAAATGGATGATTCCAGTTCCACATGTACTGTATGGTGGGAGACTATTTACTTTGTACTTGTACCATTCTATTTTGATGGACATGTTCAGTTTGTTAACATGTATAATGTAACATCCGAAACAAACAAAAATGAGACTTTTAAGGTAAAATATTACATTCCCTCAATGAATACAGCTTACAGGTAGGTGTAATTGTTTGCACTAATTGATCAGTATTTCAATCACATGTAAATTCTTTGATTTGAAATTATATATATATATGCAGTGCTCAAAGAACTTGAAAGGCAAATTCCATGAAAAGATGGACAAATAAAAAACATGAAATTTGTTATATCTTTAGAACTCCAAGTATAACAACAATAAGTGTAGTATCAAATCAAAGGAGACAACAAGATCTATTTTATTGGTGTTGCAGCAAGCTGAAATGAAGCAAAGTGTGAATTTTGGTTAAAATAACCTGGTATTTTTTGATAAAATCATGGCTTTTTGGTAGAAAGTTTGACACCTTGTTTAACATGCAAAACTTAAGTGGTATTTATGTTTTAAGTTTTGAATTTTAGAGAAAGGTGAAAATTCTGTACAAATACAAATTTTTTTCAATGATTGTGTTATAAGTCCTTGTATAAAGATGTATTAACAGTTCAAAAATGGAAAATTGATAGCCACCCATGTTGAAATACGTATCCAAACAGTGGTGTTACATTGCTTAAAATGTAACAAAACTAACTGTGGAATGAGCACGAATCACATCAGTTTACAATTAATATCAAGGTTTTCTACGGGTTTCATTCCAAAATTGATTTTCAATTATTACATGGGATATTGTAACTGTACTGATGTGGGTTAGTCAAAAATAACAAAGCAAACAGATCAAACCTTAGCAAAGTTTGCAGAAACTGATGATCTGATGTTAACATTATGTAACATCCGAAACAAAATGACATACATGTATTGTCTTTTTGTACCGTAGTAAATGCAGTTCAGTATGTTTTCAGGGTTTTTTTTAATGATTACCACTGCAATTAAGTTCATATTTTGCAATTTTCCATATATGCAACATACTCGTTCTGAAGTACAGATAAATTAGACAGGTCCAGTTTGCAACAAGTGCATACATGTACATGTACCGTACTGCATATACCGGTATTTAAGGTGATAGAACACACTGCTAAACTATTTTTGTGGCAATTTGGATACAGAGTTTGCATAAATGTTAATATGTTAGTATATTTTCTGCCTGCAAATAAGCTAACAGGGCAATGATACCAAAGCAAAGCCATAAAATGTGAGACAAGTTGAGATGTTAACAAAGTGTAACGTCCGAAACATAGCAGGGGACACAGGTATGAAAATTATCTGCCAAGTACTTTTTCCAATTTTTTTTCATGTAACTATATTGTATCATCCATGGTTTACATGCAATAAGTTTGACCCAAGAAAACCCCATTCTTCCATACCAAACAAAAACTTTAAATGGTGAAACCCAGTATTTTCGTCTATTTTTGACTTTCAAGCAATGTAAAGTCGTAATTTTTTGTGATGCAAACTCAAAACTTGGCATAAATAATCTCTGAACCATGCTCTTAACATTAACATTCATTGCTAAAGAAGTTGGTAAAGCATGTGTTGAATATCACCATTTTGAGATGTGTAACAGTTCGTAGTAAAATATATAAATGGTGTTATGTTCATGGATGTTTCACAAGTTTAGAGTTAGATTTAAGCTCCAACTTTTACATTTCTCATAAATATAAATAGTTTTGATGCTAAAACTACGTTTCAAGTGTGTTAACATATTTTCAATTTTTACCCTCTTGGTTGACAAATATGGGCATGTTAAAAAAACCAGAGCCTTACCTTATGTCACATTTGTCACTGTCTCGAGAGCTGCACGTTTGCTTTTCTTAACCTACATGGAAGGCAAAAAATTGGAATTGTTGACGACTTAAAATATTAGAAAAATTGAAATCTGATCAATACCAAAGGCATTTTCGAGAGAAAATATATGAAAACTAGGAACGAAAACGAAGAACCTCAAAATCATTGTATTCCCTCCCAAATTTCTTTTGATCGTGCCCACTTTGAATGCATTCGAGTGAACACATATGAATCAACATGTTTGTCATTTTTGCACATGTGGTACTGATAAGTAATGCGAGTGCTCACCTTTTTCTGTGTGGCCTTCTTCTTGCCCATGTGCGAGGAATGATCATTCCGCATTTTGCTGCAGAAAAGGAAAACAAAAGCTTGAAATAGGCATGTACATCTGATTGTCTTTTTATACACATTCAAATTTAGTTTATGGAATACAACCCCACTTGCAGAATAAGGTATACTGCACAAGATGGATTTGGGGGATCCAGGAGGGCTACCAGTAGAAAGTGGTAAGGACGGGAGAGGAACAGATGATCAATGGTTACTATCTTGTGTACAAGACAACATAAGTTTACTTACTCCCTCAATGATGGCTCCTTGTAGCTGATTCGTCCAGCTCTACGGCTCGTCCTCCCTGTCTCCTGTGACCCCGCCCCCTCTTCTTCCATCTCTGCTGTGGGTTCCTCCTTGAGGGCATCAGCCATCCTCTTCTGGCCCCGCCTTGACCGAGAGGAGGAGGCTTTGTCCATGGCAGGCTGGATTGAAATGGGGGGCTGTGAGTTGTTCTTAGTGGCCATAGATGGTGGACTGCATCTTGTCTCTGTGTCCATTTTTGATGTTGAGATGGGCACGGTGGATGAGGAAGGGGATGTAGATTTCTTCTTGCGGCTAGGAACATCGATGTCCCCTAGGATGTCATCACCATCATCGTTGGTCATCTGTGCTGGGCTGGATAGGTTAAAAGTGACAAAGGGCACAGCTTTGTCAGTAGACAGGGTCTTGTGAGGATGCTGTTTTGGCATGAATGCAGATTTGGTGTCTTCAATCAAAATCTCAGTCTTAGGAGGATCTGAGGACTTAACCTTGACTTTTTTTTCTTTGGTTGGGCGGCGTTTAGTGGGCTTATTTGATGTCAACACTGGAATGGCATCATTGATATCCTCAGCAGGCTGCCAAGAAGTGGTGGGCTGTGTATTGCCCATTTTGGCTAGGCAAGTCCCTTCGAAGATGTCATTGACTTCGCTGTCTACGATGGCCACATTTGGCTTCGCCTTCAGGACACCTCCTGTCATCTTGTCCACACCAGGAGATTCAACTGATTTGGCTTTCTTGCTCTTACGCTTGATCTTGCTCCCTCTGTTGGTTTTCACAGACTCCACTAGTTTCAATGACTCAGCTTGCAAATGCTCCTCCAGGGGGAAGGAATCTAGCAATTCCTCTTGTTGAAATGGCTGCAGTTGCCCCCCTTGTGGCATGGGTTCTGAACATCTTAAAACGCTGGGTACTGCTGTAGATTTCTGCAAGCCACATAAACAATCAGAAAAATAAAGTACATTTGGCAAGATTTCTTGAAAGTTTTCTTTTGGTCTACAATGTAGACCAAAGGAGAAAAAGCAGTGAGGATTGAGATGTCATGTCCTTTGGGAATTGAAAGAGCCCCCCTCCCCAGGAAAAAGTGAAGAATGTTTCTTAATATGAAACTCGCCAAATCCACAAGAAAAGTATCAAAATGACCTCGTTATCAGAGTGAATACCAGCATCTCGGTCAGTGTTCGGCTTGGAGTCGGTGATTGGCTGGAGTTGCTCCCCTTGTGGCATGGGTTCTGGACATCGGTAAACGATGGGAATTTCTGTAGATTTCTGCACGTGACATAACAAATCAGAAAATGAAATACATTTGGCAATATTTCTTAAAGGGTTTTTTTTTGGACTACAAAGTGGGCCAAAGGAGAAAAAGCAGAAAGGGATGAGATGTCCTGTCCTTTGGGGATTAAAAGAGAAAAAAAAGAAAAAGAAAAAAAAGATTGATTTTCAATATAGAACTTGAAAATTACGTGAGAAAATTATTATTATCAAGTTTACCTCATCATCAAAGCAGCTACCAGCATCTCGGGCGGTATTTGTCCCAGTAAACCCTGCTAGCGCATCAGTTGTTTTAGATTTGACTCGGTTGAATATTGGTGGAGCTAGTGAGAAGCTATCCCCAGCCGACAGATCAAAGACTGCCAGGTCATTCCTGAAGGATTCTGACATCAGACAGGTCTTCTTGCTGGGTTTCTTGGAGCCAGCTTTCTTGATGCCCTTGCCCGTGAGGATCTTGCCAGACTCTTTGGATATCTTCTTTTGAGGCTTTGGTAGCAAACTCTTGGAGGTGTTTGTTGGAGGCTTAGTTTTGTTCTTCTGTTTATTTACTTTAGCCGCAGGAGAGTTTTTTGGTTTGTCCATGTGGATGTTACCCCAGGGTCGGATAACCTGTTCATCATGGTTGAAGCGAGACTTATTGGCCAGGCTCTTGTTCTGTTCATCCTGTGTTGATGTGGAGTTGTTAGTCACTCCAGTTAGCTCCATGTCCATGGTTTTGTAGTTGGAGACGTTACCCGGTGGTGTATGGATAAATACGTATCTTTCCTTGACCACTCCAGTTGTTTGTTGATCTGGGACCCCTGGGGTTTGGGGAGAGCCCGATACCTCAAACGTTTTGTTGCCAGCTGCTTCAGATCTTACTGGGGAGATGTTATAGGTGGCACGTCTTGATTTTACAGCAGGTCGCTTGTTGGTGCTTTTGACTGTTTGGTTTTTAGGGTTGATTGAAGGGCTGGGATCTAGGAATGTTGTGCTTGGCGTTTGTCGGAACCCTTGCTCAGGCTCTGGGCTTAAGACTGTCTGGTTGTTCTCATCCGGGTCCTCTGTGTATGCTGTATAGTCTGCGTCCTCTGCTAAGGCTTTTTGGATCGCAATTGGGTCTGTCAAGAGTGTTGCTGTGCGGGAACGCTTCACTGGTGGCTCCAGGCGGCTGGACTGACGTCTGGCATTGGAACTACCACTAACTGAGGAGGCATGAACAACATGAATAAACATTTATTAAAAACTATTTGAAAATAATTCCCACGTCCTAAGCATGAACCTGTAAATGACACTTTTAGAATTCATTGTATTGGCCCAATGACATCACGGGGCACAATGACAGTTTATCATTTTTGAGAAAATTGTATAATTTTGGGTATAACAAATAAAATGTACTTCAAACCATTGTGATACACTCTCTTCAAAAGAAGAAAATTAAAGAAGCGATTATTACAGTTACCATGCTATTACAGTAACCGTACTCTTTTCTAAATACCTTTGGAATCAGGAGTTTCATCGATAAATCTCAAAGGAATGTCTAAGTCATCTAATGACGGAAACTCCAAATCCAGCTCCTCATTGGCCAAATCCTTTAATTTGTCTGACAAGGGGACCCCAATGAGCGAGGATGCTGATTGGCTGGTACCATCACACACTGGCTCTGATTGGACGGAACCTTTGAGTTCTTCTGATGTGCTAGTTCCCTGTGCTTGCTCATTTTGTGACTGACGCACCGATGACGGCTCTGACTGGTTGATGGTAGCTGTTGCCATGGTATCCGCTGCCTGCATCACATGAGAGGCTGCACTCTCAATGGCCGAGGAGAGCTGAGCTTGCCTACAATACGTGGCAGATCTACATAACAAATTTTTTTAAAAACATCCATCTTTTCAAATTTTTATCATTGACCCTTTTTGAGAAGGAACAAAAGTGACTGTAAATGTGTATTTGGACTCTTTTGATTATCTCTAGTTGTGTACTTTTCAAGAGGCCTACACCTACTACATTTAGTCTGTCTGTCAGATGCACAGGTGTTTTTGCACTTCAGTTGAAAGTTAGTCTAACTTACAAAATATTCCTTATACCAAATGTGTCTTTCACTTGTAAAGTGCAATGCTGTATGTATTCAAGTCCATCACAAGTCCTTGCCAGTCCTCCCAAGTCCATCACAAGTCATCCAGTCTAAAGTAGGGGTGTGCATCGGAACCGGGTACCCGGTAACTCGACCGATGATGTCAGGAACCAGTTCCAGATTATGGAATTGAGTTCCCGTAACCAACTTTACAAATTACTTAGTAACTTCTCAGACAATGAAAAAGAAAGGTTTTGAATGTCATTTATGGGAAATTTTCAAAATGAAAACCAGGCTACATGAAAAAAAACCCACAGATTCACATTTATGAAGATTATGAAAATGCCTTTTACACCGCAAGGCTCCACAGCTCACTGTACACACTTTGTATTTTGTTTTGTTCCATCGGGTACCTGATCCCATACTACCTGTAAATGCAAACCCCTTGTCTAAAGCAAAAAGCACTTCACCAAGTACTTGGTGAAGTGCTTAATTCATTCAATGCAGCTCGCAGTTCCTGCAAGGACTCCGCACTCACCCTTGATCAGCTTTCTGCACAATCCTGAAGGAATCATCATCTGATGTCAAGGAGGCCCTTGGAATAAGTCCCAAGCTACTCTCCCGCAAGGGTAAGGAAGAGCAGAGATCAATGGCTTGTCCAAGCGAGCTCACGCCATCCAACAAGCTGTGAGTCACTTTGGACAGAACTTGTTTGATGTTTCCAAAGCGTTGCTGCCAGATAAGAAAGATAGAACAGTTCAAAACCATTTTTAAAATCTATTAGGGCTTATTAGTCAGTAATCAGGAAAACAGTTTGTTTTCATTTTTGTCTGATTTTAAGTAGGTAGGATTTTTCTGGAAGTCAAGTCATGTTTAAGAGTCCCATGCTCACAATGCATTCTTTCTCTGCCATCCTTTTAGAGTTGGCCTGCTGCAGAAGGAACTGTCTGTCTCGCTGCAGCTCCAAGATATTCTGATGAGCCTGCTGAGCATCGTGTTTGGAAGCAGCCAGGGCCTTGGCCAGGGACTGATTGTTAGAACGCAAGCTGGCTTTCAGGACGTATGATGCAGTTGTTCCTGTGGGTAACAAAAGAATACTGGTTTGTTACAAGTAACATAAGGAATCAGCAGGGGCTTTACTACACCCACAGCCATGCATTTCATAAAGTTTGAGCAAAATGAGATGCACCATTGTAAACATTTCAATCTTTGAGTACATTCACACTTGTCTGATTTGCTTTTTAAATATTAGTTTTAGGTAATTACAATTCTTTGGAGCTGACAATGAATTGAGATGAATTACAGACTTTGGGCCAATTATAGGCCTACTTATCATTGGAGCCAATTGTCGTGTATTGGATATCATCCGGGTCTTCCTACCTTTACGTTTTGAGAATGACCTGGACCACGATGTATTACTGTCATTCAGAGCTTTCTTTCGTCGCTTTTCTTTCATCTTTTCTTTGATCAGTTCAATGCTGGTGTTGCCCTTGCTATGTGACATGGTGTCTTTGTCTTTATCCTTTGAAACGAAACAAAGAAAAAACAAATTGATTGAGTAGTCACAAAGGAAAGTTTTAAAGTGAAGAAGTCTGTCAAATAGACATTAAATAGTTGAGAGTACATAATTTTCTGCTAAGAGGTAGGCCTATAGTTATAGGGTAATTTTTTGGGTACCGCAATGGAAATCAGTTTTAAAAATTTTGGGGGATTCTCTACTCTATATTTAATTGTTAATTTACAGTTCTAGATAATTAGAACAAAATGTTGCAACCTGACGCCACTTCTGCGATTGTGTATAATAGATGGAGAGTCAAGAAAATTTTATGAATATTTCCTGAAAAAAAATTGGAAATGTTCAAGGCTCAGTCCCAGATTCCCTATGAAGAAAAAAGTGGCGTCAGGTTGCAACATTTTTTTCCGATAATTATTATTTTCGTTTTTGTGGTTGTGTTAAATTTTAACTAGCCCAACAGACTAATTTTATTTAGTAATTAATTTGTTTTTCTGTATCATTCATATGCATGCCATGCCATAGGCCTAGGCCAATGTGGAAATTGCAAATAATAAATCAACGAAGTGGCTATCGTTACGGCAGTCGTTGTTTAGCGCCCTCTATGATACTTTTTTGATACGCACGCAGGTATATAATTATTTGTTTCCACACGTTTTAGCGAGCAGTGCGGCAGCTCAGTCGATAGAAGGTAGGATTTTGCACCGCGAGGTTGCGGGTTCGAATCTCAGTTTTGCACTCGAATGTTTTTCCTTTTCTAACCTGAGGCTTTGGAGGATTTTTTTTAAACGGGAAATAAAGTCCGAATTTCATAACGTTCAAATTCACTTTTTTCCTTGTAATTTTATATTTCTTATAAAAGTTGCAGTCTACCGTAACGATAGAAAATGGGAAATGCGTTACGGCTGCCGTAACAATAGCCACTGCGATAAATCAAATCAAATCAAACCAAACGTCAAAGGCCAACACGCACCATGGCCTACTCGCCCATCGAGGGGCGAGTTACGACTACAAGTTGATATGAAAAATTTAATGAGTCTTGTTGTACCACACTTGGGGCGAGTTGACCAGCATTCTGAGACGTGCAAACGTACGGCCTGTCCGTGTCGCGGCGCGGCCAACTAGAACGGTTCTCCCGGCGAATGTCGGACACTTCGCCCCATTTCCACGTCGCCCCATGTCACTTCGCCCCTAACCACTTCGCCCCATCCCCTCTTCGCCCCATTCCCACTTCGCCCCATCCCCACTTCGCCCCATTCCCACTTCGCCCCATTCCCACTTCGCCCCATTCCCACTTCGCCCCATCCCCACTTCGCCCCATCCCCACTTCGCCCCAGCCGTTACATGTAAAAAAAAAAAAAAATTCTCATCTATTTTTTTGGCTTAAAAAAACCAATTTCAATAGATTCACTAATTGCTAACCAACGGAAAGAATTAGCCCATCACCAAATGAACAATTCATAACCAACCTCTCAAGCTAGGCTCTCCCCTACCGAGTAAAAAGCTTTGTAAAAGATCCAACTTTGTTCCCAACCCCGGCGGCTATACCAACCCGTCTCCCACTTATCTGAGAACGACAATACCTTTGACATCCTAATTTCACTCTTGGAGGAACCAATCTCATCAATGAAGTTGTAAGTGTCACATATCAGACAAATTTTGACGGAACATTTTCCTCAAGGCAGTGAGTTCCTTTTAACTCACTGACCCATACACATGTACGGGATTCTTTGAATCCAGCGGCTGATGATTGTATTCACAAGCCAATAGGAGAGGCGTCTCTGAATGGGATAGAGCCATCATTTCTCTCATCTGTGTCTCGAGCACCTCATCAGAGCGTTTGTATTTTTCCTGAGTTTCTAGAATTGGGAGCATTTATTATCTGGGGTCTTTGGCAGTTTATTTGGTCTGCACCCCTAGCCTTCACCTTTTTCATACTACATGGGGCGAAGTGGGGATGGGGCGAAGTGGGGATGGGGCGAAGCGGGGATGGGGCGAAGTGGGGATGGGGCGAAGCGGAGATGGGGCGATGTGGGGATGGGGCGAAGTGGGGATGGGGCGAAGTGGTTAGGGGCGAAGTGACATGGGGCGACGTGGAAATGGGGCGAAGCGTCCGACACCCCTCCCGGCTCCCTGAACATGCTGCGCTGCACACGGCACAGGCAACGTACTGCGTACGTACGTCATGTACGTGAACACAATAGCTAGGCCTAGTCTAGTATTCAGTATTGCACACCACTATGAGATAGGACTACGCCCTAAAGAAGACCATACAACAAGCAAAATATACTAAGTCTACTTCTTATAAAATTCATTAGGAGAAATACAAAAAACGAACGAAATTGACTAAAAAAACGAACTCACTGTCGTGCTTTCAGTCGCCATTTTTAAACTTCGTGCCGCATCAATTTGGTTTTATATTTCATTGGTTAAATACAGCTGGTACCCGTGTTGTATTTTGACGCACAAATATAATCGATTACCAGCTGGTTAAACCACTTGACAACACTTGGCAATGGTGACGCCGAAGTGAAAGAAAATTGCGATCTACAAAAACCTGAAAATCTGTGGTTCTGGTTTTGATCTTATTGTTACCGATGATATGGCAAAGAATTCTGAAGCAGTAGCAAAACTTGTTCAACAGAAATTGTAAGTTTTTGACCCAATAAGTACCGTACCGTAAAATGACACTGTGATGCTTCATTTCAAAGTTCAACTTTGACTTAAGTTAAATCATTGGTTTTTTTTTTATTTACTTCAACCTAGAGAGGACTATTTCAACAGGCAGCGAGTTGAGAATGAATTTGACCCATCTGGGAAGGGAATTCACACAACTACACCAGCAGTGGTAAGGCCTAATTTTTAAATTAAATTAAAACAGTGATGATAATCTAGTACTGGCACTGCAGCCAGTAGATTCCCCCCCCCCCTCTACTTAACTTAGTGATAGACCTACACACTGGACACATTGTGGAGAAGTAGGCTGGAACCTTTAAAAATATAAATCATAAGTTTTGCTGGGTAGCAACTTACAAGTTTTTCCCCTGCCTTTTTAGATTGAAATGAACAGCTTGAACATAGTTTACTGTTATATTCAAATTAGCTGTTTTGAAATTGCTTCAATTGTACATCCCAACAAGGATATAGGCCTACCCTAAGTTTAATACCTATATCCCATCAGTTTACTATCCCCAAAAAACTAATTAATATACTTCTCAGGTGCAGTTAGAGCTGAGTTATCTGCAAGCAGCAGAGCAACAGTGGAAGGCAAACAAGAAAAAGAAGAAGAGTAAAAATGGTCAGCAAAAAACTACTGATGAGCAGGGAGATGGGTGGAGAAGTCAGTCGAGGGAGAACGAGTCTCCTGACGATGGAAACGAGGCCACACCCGAGGTGTCACCCAGAGTGACTAAAAACAGCAGGATAAAATCCAGGGTGAAAGGTTCTGAGATTGATCGCATCACAAAGAACGCTCAGACAACACTGGTCAGTATGTCTTTCCTACCAACTGGGCATTTTGTCTCCAGTTGTTTCGGTACTTCTTTTTCCTGTAAAACTAGGATTTTGCAATTTACTTTCATGGGTTACTATAGTGGACCCACACTTTATAATTCCTATATCAAGAAGTAGTTTTTGTTTTCTCTAATTATTTAGGATCAAGTTTCAGTGGACAAGATTCAGAGTGTTCATCGCTACCGGCCACATCTTATACTTAGTGAGCGTCTGGACATAGTAAGTTCATTACAAAATCAACCGTGTTTGTGGTTTGTCATCACTTTTTTTTCCTTCTCTGTCAGGCTGATTGTAGAGATTGTAGACCATTTGCATATGGCAGCCATCTTTGGGGGTGTTTGCTATCGCCTCACAGATGGCTGTGATTTAAAGAATACGTGTGCAGTATATTCCTGTGAAATGCTGGCTTTTACAATATCCAAGTACATATAGTGTGCAATATCCAATTTTTAGACTTTCATTTCCACATAGATTAAAGTAGCCCGTGTATCTCATCATGTGGACGCCATCTTGAACACGGAGCATGCCTTGGATTGTGCAGAGGAAAATGGTAAGAGATAGTCAAAAGAATGAACGCTCTTTTCTTGCAGAAAGAGATTTGTATTGTGCTTTTATTGTAGAGTTTATACAATAAGTTTAAGCTCAATGTTAGCTACTAAAGAGCTCTATTTGTTGTCTGGTAATTCGACTTACAGATGATCGTGAGGCAGCAAGAAAATATGTAGAAGAGAAAAATGATGTAAGTGTAAATTATGCGCCTTTCATACAATTTATTGTTTTAAGTTGTGTTCTAGAGCTTTTCCCAGTTTTCCACATGGAATCCTCTGATCCTGCGATAGCATGCACCGGAGTAGACAGGTAGATCATAATCACACAGGTTCAGCATTCATATTCTTGACAAGTACCCTTAACAGTTTCACTGAAACTTTATGTTACAAACACGAAACCATTTCAACATTCACACATCGCTGTCATTTCACCCGTCTACAATCTCACAGCCTGAAAGGAAGGAGAGAGACCAGAGAGATGAGCCAGAGAAGGCAGAAGACACTGGAAGCCAACGGAAGAGAACTCCGTTATGGCTCAGGTAATGGTCACCTCATCTCATAATCCACTGCAATAAGGTAGCTTGGTTTCATGACATTTCGGCTATGGCTTGAAATTACATACGTACATGTATCTATAGTAGTAGCTGCAGCCACTTCCCATGAGTCGTGTGTAAATGCAAGCCGTAGGCAAGTAATATGGACACGACGTTAGACTGCATGAGCATTCCTTGGCTATGACTGTCAAATACACACGTGGCTACACCTGCTGCTCACTCCACTTTAATTATGTTGCTGCCAGCCAGTCAAGACATAGAAATAATAGGCCGGACACCAATCGATACACTAAATAATTTATAATTAGCCCTCTGAGATTTTGTGGACTTGATAGAGGGCGCTGTTTGGTTTTGTGTTTTCTAAATACCAACGTTTACCACAATTTAAGAAAAAGCACCCTATGTGTCCACCATAAATTTACAAAAGTCTTATGCGTTTTGTATATTTTTTCTTGTTCATATTTTAGGGTAGAAATGGAAAAAGCGCAAAGAGAAGCCAAGTCAGACAGACCTCGGAATCAACAGACTAGAGAAGAAATAGAAGATGGATATTCATCAGATGAATGTCAGGAGATGGCAAGAGAAGGTGGGGAGGTAGAGGAACAGAAACAGGAGACCAGAGAAGTAACTGATGAAGAGAAAGATTTGTCAGCTGACCATCAAGAGATAATCAGAGAAGATGAAATGGATGAAACAAGTAGAGAAGGAAAATGCGAGGATAATGAAAAAATGAGGAAGGATGTTAAAGATGAGGGTAATAAAACAAATAAGAACCCATCTGATGGAAACAGTGAAATTAAGAATGCTTGCAGGGAGAGTGAGAACGAGGTAGATGAAGACAAAACAGTGGGACAAAGTGAAACAAACGAGTCTAAAAAGGAATTTGAAGGAGAGAAGAGGGTGGAATCAGACATTGAGAATAAGAACAAAGGTGTTGATGGAAAGGTGGAACAGGGCAAAGTAGAACCTTTGAATGATGCAACTCCAACTGAAAAGTCAGTTGAAAATGAACAAAGTGATCAAAGTGATCAAATGAGTCAGCAGGGGAATGAAAAGAAAAACCTTAATGTAAAACAAAAGCGGGGTAAGCGTAAGACAAAGCAGGACCTCCCAAATGGAGACCTGCAGAACGGCAGCATCGAGGATGACTGTAAGATAAAGGCTGGTGATGGAAATTTGGAGGTTCAAGAAGGGGAGGCGGCCAGCAGGAAGCCACAAGTAGATGGGATTGGGGAGCAGGGTGGCAAGGATAGGGGCGGTGAGGAGTCGGTTGGGCAGGATAGACGTGGGCAAACTAGTGAAGGACAGGATTACAGGACAGAAGTGTATGTGAGATCAGAAAGTGTAGTCTCTTTAACTGCTGCAGTTAATGAGGATGAACAAGGGAAAGGTTAAAAATGATGAAACAGGTTATGATCAGTAAAGGTTTCATACTATGCACAAAATTGGAATAAGCCCTCTCAAGTTGGGTTGTTAATTGTTTTGGTCTCTAAAATTCCTCATCTGCAAGAAATATTAAGGTTGTAAATACATGTACTGTACATATGTTGTAAATTGGGAGTAATTGCTTAAAGTCTTCAGCTTATAATTTGTGTCAGTTAAAGAGAGTGTCTCAAATGTTGAGATTTTGAAATATTCCATGATTTTGGAACACTTTGCTCTTTCATGAACGTATTGAGTATTTGTTCGTACGTCTTTCAGAGGTTTATTTTTATACATCTATATCAGGTAGTGAATAGTTATTGTATATTTTCCAATTTTTCTATTCAAATGTGTGAATAAGTTGTTAAAATAGAGACGTTCAAAATGTCGAATTTCGTTTAAAAGGTGTGGTTTCTAACAATATTTTTGTATTTTGTTTGATTGAAATGAAAGTTGCCACAATTATATAATTGCACCAGATCTATGCAAAAAAATATGAATTGCCTAGTAATACATTATTTTATGACAAATTATGTACATGTATTCAAGTTGATATGAAACATGATAAAGTATACCCTTCACAGAAGAATGTTTCATTTAAATGGTTGACATGTAATCTATGAATTATGAAATTAAATACTGTGAATAAAACACATGCCAATACTTTTCTCTGCAATTCATTTATTATACAAATTTACACTAAAGTTCACAACCACACAAGGAAACGCTTTCATGCAAGTGACATTAGGTAACGATATTAAGCTGAATGTGATAAGATGAAGTTATATTTATAAAAATTTAAGATTGAAATCTTTTTGCCAACTGTTGGTTGCATTGCTACAAACCGTGGTATTGAGATCACTTTTTCTCATAACTCTTATTTTTTTGTTAAATATGATCTTAACTACAAACCAATTCACTCCTGTGACTAGCGTCGTAGCCAGGCTTCTCCCCATATAGGGGGACGAGGGGGGGGGCCTGGATGTTACAGTGGGGGGCATCCAATTTATGTTAGACCCCTTAACCATGGTCACTTAGGACTAACAAATTTCCAGTGGGGGTGACGGGGGCCTCCCTTTTTGAGGGGGGGGGGGGGAAGCACTCCCCATGTCTCCCTTGACTACGCCGCTTCCTATGGCACAATATGCAAATGGCATCTAACTGTTCACTGTTCATCTACAAGGTTATTCACATAATTTCAAATATACACTCTTTTAGAACATGTGCACATAAAAACATATACATCTAGTCTTACCAATTAATGAAGTATTTCTGGTGATGACAAGAAACAAATTCAAACAAATGAGATCCTAGTAGATGTACATGTATTTGCAAAACTGAATTTATTACCTTGACACAAATAATGTGCCTTGATGATATCGCCTTCCTTGAAATCGGATTGGCCTACTTTTTTAAAGCGCACAAACATCAAATACAGTGCCTGTGTGCATGTAAATAAATTGACCCCATGCTGAGGTCATAAAGACAACACCACACTGGCTGTTTCTTGACTCTATAATATGAGTTAGAAACCGAGTGTTTGAGGCAGTGTTCACACCAGCATCAAAAACTCAATGCTTCTTGGGTCAAACTACATGTACTTATTTCTGTTCCACCACCTCCCATAAGTTGGACAGCGTGAATCCATCTTTGAGTTTCTCAATTGCCAGGCCGAGTTCCTCACAGTAGACTGGTGGCCTGTCTTTCTGCTTGTCTCCATCAGCAAAGTACGCCTGTGGACAAAAGAAAAAGCAAAACAGGAAGTAGGACTGCGTTAAAACTTCTGCAAGAAATGAACTCAAACCCAACCTGACAGCCATTCCATTAAATGGGGTTTGAAGAATTGTGTGGGAAATGGAAAGGTACAGTTGAGTCACTTCAATAAGGCCGAGTAAAAAATGGAAGTTGCTCATCCAGTCTTTTTAAAAACAAATAAAGGAGGCGGGCGCTTTTTTTTTCTTCTTTTTTCCTCCCCAAGATGGGGATTTTCCAATATGGTGGAGGGATTCTTAAAATTCCTTGACTATTTTGCTGATACAAAATTGCGTCCAAAGGAGCCATAAGCCTTTCTACATAGCTACAATTTTGTTGGAAACAAATAAAAAACAATATATTGATATTTGACAATACATTGTATATATGCAAAATATATTGCACAAGTATGAATAAAAAAGAAAAAAGGAGGTGGCCGGGAAAAAAGGAACTAAGGCATAATATCAACTCCTAACCAGAAATACAAAATGTATGTATAAGCCTGCTGATCAAGGGCAGGACAGTAGACAGTGATTATGATCATTAGTCTACTCACAGCAAACGCGTCTGACTGTTCATCCTCAGTGACGATATCCACATCATCTGTCTGGTTCTCAATAGTCGATTCCTCCAGTGACTGTGGACGATCCTCCGTTTCAAACTCTACACCGAAGATGGGACTTGAGCTGTAGACACGATGTAGGCTCTGAATCTCCTTGACAACCTCATGTAGCTTCTCTGTTGGGTCGATGCGGAAACCTAGGACATAGTTGCCACTCTGTCAGAAGAAGAAAAGCAAGATGATATGAGTATTCAATAATGGGGTTGGCTGCAATTTAACCAGACCATTTGGTTTCTCAGAGCTTCCTGGAGAAATAAAAAGCTCACAATTATTGTAATTGTGAAATATTGATGGGCTTTATGAGAAAGAATAAGCCTGGATTATGCTAAATAAAATACCTCTTAACTTGCATAATTTGAGGCATACGTAACGCACCTACCTGGACAGAAGATTCAAGAACGAGTGCCACACCAAACTTGGAATCTCGGATCTTGACACTTTTCTGTAATAAAAGGAAAATTGAGGGAGTGATTTCACTCAATTCTGTACATCAAAATCTTTCACACACTGTAAACAAGAACACACAAACTACCTGAGCGCAACTTGCACCAGCCTGGTGGCACCTCAGAAAATGGCTGTCGCTGGAATAGCATACTTGATTATTTTATGTAAAAATTACATCCTAAAGGTTGACTCACCATTTGCAGATATGGCACGCTGACGTTAAATGATTCATTCATGTTGGCATGCCAAACTAGTCGCACATTGGTGATATAGAAGGTGCCTAGGTTACCCTGAAAGAAAACACATACACTTCAAATTCAGCAAGATTTCAAAGAGTCATCTTAACCACCACGCACATAAAATGCTCAAGAAAGACTGGACTGATATCGTTTGTTGCACACTACTACAAATTCGACATTTTGTTTCTCCCCCAGATTCTTTAATTTTAGAAAAAAAATTCCATATGAATCTAAAATAGGAATGATTTTTTTTGTATTTCAATTTCAATACTTTAGAATTTAAGATCAGTAGGTGTTGTGCGTGGCACCCCCCTTACAAAAAAGAACAATTTTTAAGTCAACAGCTGTATCTCTGCAACATACCTGATCACTAGATAGATTCCAAACACCATTGACTTTATCATACACCTGCTCCAGCGGTAACAAACGCAGGTTCTTATTGTGAATAATGGCTCCTCTTAACTTGAGATCTCGATACAGCTTGGATGTCTCGTAGGCTCTATAGAAAAGAACAAATTAACATACTTTACAGTCAAATAGTTCTGACTCTTTCTGAAGTCAAAACTGATTTGACAATTTGGAAAATGTTTAACAAATAAGTCTGGTAGCTACCACACTAAACCTCACCTGTGCACTGATATGATAGTGGTGAACAGCCTAGGTGAGCCAGGTACCAGACTGGTGAAGATGAACTCAAACCGAGTGTTGTTACATCGAGTCAAGATGTACAAAGCTTCTGTCTGACCTCGCAGTTTCTGTCAGACAAAAAACACAAGTCAGTCTCATTGCAATCACAGAAACGTACATTTTATCTCCAATAATTTGGTAATTTCCAATTAAAGAAACAAAAAAACAAAAACACAGAAAGAATTACAAAACTTACCGAGTGAGCAGTTCTTACAGTGATGTTGATGATGCATGTATAACCGACCGCTATGAATAAAGATGAACAAATATAAAAACCTGTTAATTTGAAATGTGTTGGTTCGAATCCAACAGGAGCAGCCCTGATAGCGAGGTCATTTTCAGTTCCTTATGTGTCTTGTTTATTGTACAAGAGGGAACATTATGGGTCTTTGAACTTAATTCCCAGCTCAAAGGATCACAATAGGAGAAATTAAGCGTGACTTTGCCTTCTTCCACTTTTATCAATACTTTTACTTTGTGGAGTGTTGTGGCCTCGTGGTTAAGGGCATTGGATTCGTGGTCTGCAGGTAAATCTACAGGTTGAGGGTTTGAGTCCAGCCTGGGGTTATGGTGCGTGTGCCCTTGGGCAAGGCACTTTGTCACGCATTGCTTCTCTCCACCCAGGAGTAAATGGGTACCTGCGAAGGTACGGGCCATGTGCGCTGATATTGAGCTGCTGAAGAAGTGGTCTCGTGGCCTGATGAACAGGGGTAATAATTGTAAAGCGCTTCGACACCTTTGGTATAAGGCGCTACATGTATATAAGCACCACATTATCAATACTACCTACATTGTACTTACACAAGTTAACCCTTGGTAATGTGTGGGAATGCCAGATGAGCCTCAGGTTAGTTACAATCAAACGACCTGGAACGAAAGCATTCAAATATTAAGAATAACAAACAAAAACCTACATTTCAGTGATTTAGTGAGACAAGTCCGGAAAATAAAGTCGGAGAAAATATAAAAATATATTACAAATATAAGGTTTGGGGTTGGGGGTGCTTGGAGGCAGGGTGACTGTAGTCTTGTTTCCAAGTGCCTGCAAATGTTCATTTAGTGCACCAGGGTTATCTGTATATACCTCTGTCTCCATTATTTCCTTTGGTGTCTTCGACTGAGTCTAACAGGTCAATCCGCTTCTCCCCAGATCGCATATTCATCTGCCTGTGAATTACAACAATTAAAGATCATCATACTTGAAATTTAATTTGAAAAGACATTATCTATAATGATAATCATTTGTAATTTTCTTTTCCTTTAGAACATGGTACACTGCGGCAATTGATATGTGGCACTGGACTGTTTTGCAGCAAGTAGTCCTATTTTATAACTGTAAAGAGCTTTAACCTTCTAAAAGGATGTGAACGATGAACTGTTGTCGACAAAAAAGTTACCGTCGAAAAAAAAAGCTGATCCTGACAATAAAACCTGCAACTTTATAATAAATCACATCACAGTCGTGTGTGTATGTGCGTAGTTTTTTGTTTTCGAATATTCAAACCAACAAAATGCTATTGAAATGTTCAGTTGATGATCAAATATTGGAGGATTCCTGACACCCCTACTGAAATTGCATAGCAGCCATCTATGATGAGGTACGGTATTTGCTCCATGTGGATATATGCATGGGTAGATCTCTTGCGCATTCAGTTGTCATTCAATATAATCTAAAACCTTCCAAGGTGCCCGATTGATGGAAAGAATCTATTGAGAGTCCCAATTATTTTTTACTAATACTACTTACGATGTGCTGATGTCAAACCTGACGTCTCTATCTTCCCAGAGAGCATCATAGATTTGTGGAGGATTACTCAATGATGACATGGTCACAAGCTTCCAGATATCAGTATGTAGCTCAACTTCAAGGACAGCTTAAAGTTAAATAACATGCTTTAGTTAAGGAAACAACAAGGGCAGAAATGTTTTGTTCAATTTTAAATGTCTGAATGGAAATGTCTAGCTGTCAACTATCACATTCATTAGGTCTGCTTCCTTTTTTGAGGCTGCATCATTTTTTGCCCGCTGCAACATACCGTGTTTAGGCCAACGGCGTGCATGTGCCAGGCGTTACGGCCGGCCGGCCGGCCGGACGGCCGGCCGGCATGGCCGGCCGGGAGCACGGTCACAGCCGCGCCCGTTGGATCCTGCAGTCGGCATGATCGGTTTTAGGCTGGCTTTGACTATCGATACATGTAAATTAACAAGGAGTCAAATGAAAGGCAATGATCATTGTTCAACCTACCAACGTTTGAACTTGATGAATGAATCTTACGATGACAGTCGGCGACGTACAGTGACGATCGCTGGCAGCGCGGTAATATTGTCACGCCCCAACTATCGCATCGGTCCCAACTATAGTTGGGACTGTCCCAACTATAGTGCGGCAGTTGGGTCGGCCCAACTATAGTTAGGACTGGAATTGCACCGGATGCTTCATGCTTGATAGATCTTGTTGGATTAAATGTTCCGCGGCCGCGCGCTGGCACCGTGTACGGTCGTGCATGCATGCCGCAAGGCTGGCCGGTCACGTGGTACTGCCTAGTTGGACGAGTTGTCCAGCTGCTGGGTTTTATTATCCAGCAACATTTTGCAAAATTCAAAGATTGCCATGGTCGGCCAACTATAGATGGGCCCCACCCATAGCTAATGTCAAAGGTCCTAAGTCGGACATGTAAGCAGGAATGTTTTATAATCGTACATCAATGTAAACTATAGTTGGGACTGCCAAATAAAAATATTGCGGTGGCCCAACTACAGATGGTCCCCACCCATAGATCATTTCATTGGTCCCCAGTAAAGTCAGATGTGTATTAGAGTTGTAGGGAATGTTTTATAATCGTACTACAATGTACACTATAGTTGGGACCGCAAAATAAAAAGATTGGGGTGGCCCAACTATAGATTCGCCCCATCAATAGCTAATTTCAGTTGTCCCCAGTAAAGTCAGACGTGTATCAGAGCTGTAGGGAACGTTTTATGGTTGTACATCAATGTAAACTATAGTTGGGACACCGCAAAATAAAAAGATCGGAGTGGCCCAACTATAGATGGGCCAGCCCAACAATGGAACTTACAGTTGGGACCGTCCCAACTATAGTTGGGACAGGCCCAACTATAGTTGGGCCAGCCCAACTGTGGAACTACAGTTGGGACAGGCCCAACTATAGTTGGGACAGGCCCAACTATAGTTGGGACCGATGCGATAGTTGGGGCGTGACAATATGAAAGTTGTGTACTTCGTTTCCTAGAGAATGTATATCGCCATCTTTGTTTATGCGGCGCGCCCTCTATTGAACGAAAATTAAAGGAGAGTATGTTCAGCGCGCATTTTTTTCCGTCGACAGAACTTTTAGTTGACAAAAATGTACGGGTAAAACTGCTCTTGAAGCAAACGAACTTCAAATTCAGTAAAACGGGTATTTCGTCATTTGCAAGAAGAATGTGTTGCTTTTGTTCCATGAAAATTTACTTTCATTCGGTGGTGTGTTTAAAACGTTTCAGTCATATTATTTTTTATCGTTTGACGTTTTCTCATGAAATCTCATAATGTTACACATCATGACCGATCACTGGACGAATTTTCAATATAATAAACAGAAGTATTTCTTGAGTTGTTTCCCAAATAACGAGTCTGTTGAAAGAAAATATAAGCAGACGTTTGTCTCCGGCGCGGCCGGCGCGCGCGGTGCGAGACCACTATTTTGTTTAGCGCGCCCTTTTTTTCGACAGAAACTTTTAGTTGACAAAAGTGTCCAGGTAAAATGCCCTTGCAAAATACGGTTGAGATGTTTAGCTTTCAATTTTATTTCATTTTGGCATATGCCGCCTCGTTATGATTATTATAAGCTTAAATGACTCATTGTAAAGTGCTTTTCACCGCCAATCCTTTAAAACCTTTATAAGCTCTTTCTAAAAACTTTATGGTTATGGGCAAGTATTAAAATACCAAAAGAGCATGGCTTGAATGGGAGAACTAACTCCTTGCCATTTTTAAACCGAGAGGTGGGTTATAGAGATGAGCTAGATAACAGCAGTGATGAGCACTTAAACTAATGGACTACCTTCTGATACATCTTAGTATAGTAACGTCATAGCCCTATTTTGTAGCGTGACATATCCCCGCTAGATTGTTTTACGGCTGAGCAGAGTCTAAAACCTGCGGTCTGATGACGTCAAGAAAAGTTTGTCCTGACGATGAGGGCGCTGTTAATCTGAACTCCAAAGTCAATTCTTAATCGAAAATTGTGTCCTTTTTTTGCAGCAGTCACGTTAACCGGTGAGTTAATATTATGCTGAGCTGAGACACACACAAATCATTGTGTAGCCTTTGCCATACAAACACGTTAAACATAACTCATCTATAAAATTTAAAGCAATTGCCAATGCAGTGAATTGCTAATTCTTTAACTTTAGTCCCATATTTCCTATTAATATTATTGGGGACTGGCCTATTTTCTTTTTGTCTGCTTGTGTATCTTTATATGGCAGAACGATGGCAGAGTCTCCATCACTAAGCTTAGAGCATGCCTCAGATGAGCGGCAGCCCATCCCAGAAGGATCTCTCCATCCCCAGTCTGACCAGACAGCTAGAGCTGCTATTGGTGAACTAAAAAACAATGATCGCACCCTGCATAGTGCTGACCTGAAAGGTGAATTAATTAGTGGACTAAGGCCTGAACTTTGTAATTACTGCATGTGTTCATTGCATCGACACAGACTCCAAAGAGCTCAGAGACTTAGGGATGTAATGTCCATGCCATATTAGAATTTCGCCAAAAAGAATTTTTTTTTTTTAATTGCTATTTTGTCAATCAAAAGACAAGTTTTTCTTTTAAAAAAAAATACTTAAAAAAAGGACAGAAAGACAGAGAAACGAAAATATAAATCTGGGGTTTATATAGACTGATCCTATCGGGATCAATAATAAAGGTTGCGTAGAATGCAGGGAACCAGTCTACTAGGGCGGTTAAGCTGTTTATGCTAAGACAACCCAAAACAAAAACACATTTTACAAGGATAGAAGATGCCCCCCCCCAAAAAAAGAGTTTTCCACCCATTAATTAAGAAATCCCTTTGACTGCACTTGAATCATCAAGACATTGCTTGCCATTAATATTTTGGTAAAACAAGTTGTTTTAATATATTTGACCTCTGCTAGCAGATGGCAGCGTTTCTTCAGCTGGCAATGAGAAACACCTGCAGCATACAGTGAAAGGTAAGAAAAGTACTCGTTACAAGTTTGATAGGGTAGATGTGTGATTTAGGGATTGTTTATCATGGAGTCTTGATCCGGGATTAAATTTGACAAGACTAGAGAAATTGACATTAAGATACAGAGCTTTTGTTTACTCTCAAATATATTGTATTAATTTTCAAATAAATAATATTCTAAATAATCAATTTTTGTATGTTTTAGGTAATAAGTGGGTGATCTGATCAGGGTCAATACTTGCTGGGGTTGAAGCTTAAGGTTTGCAAAGAGCATTTTTTTTGGGGGGGGCGGGCAAGACATTTTGTTACTTTTGAGAACTAGCTATAAGTGAAGAAGAATAGATTCGAACAGGAGAATTCTCTTATCGGATGGAATTCATACCTTGGAGAATTCTCTCTGCCATAATCCTTTGTCTTGTAAACAGTGTTGATAATGAAACATCTCAATTTGTAATAGATTTATCTTTGTTACTATGATAACAGCTATAGGCCAAGGTATGAAGACAGCTTGTCTACAATGGGAGCAACTGATGCTGTAAGTTATATTTTAAATATTTACCCAAGTGCTTCCGAATGATTATTGAATAGGCCTACATCATTTTAAAAAGGTCCAGCTAAAGATTGCTAAGCACAAAGATTTTCTTAGTAAAGAGAGACTTTCTGTTGAGCACCTCTGTGAAATAAGGCCCTGATGTGATCTATGTTACTGATGGAATCCTTTACAGAGAGAGCGAGCAGTTTGAGCTGTTCTGTCCCACCAGGGTGGACAAGCTCTTACAGGAGGCCAAAGCAATGGAGGCCCACTTGCTGCATCAGAAGGAGCAGCTCATCAACCGTCTCAGGAAACTCTCCCAGACTCTGCAGGTTGTACCTTAGCTACGTTCAACATTATCCAGGCATCAAACATCGATCAAGGAGCCCCTAGTGTTATTGCCAAGCCCATCACAAGTCCCCATAAGTCATCACAAGTCCTTACCAGTCATCACAAGTTACAGTTACTCAATGTTTCAAAATGACATTTCAAAATGTTGTACTTCCACAAAATTATACACCCTGTTCCATTTTTGATTCCAATATTTCAATTCAAAACGTAGCAAAAAAGGTCTTGAGGTATTCTACTATTGAATTTTCAATTCAACTTGCACTTTTAACAATTATGCAAGCTGCTTCATTTACTTGAAACAGAATAGAAATGTTCACATCTAAAACAAACCCAATGAAGGCTTTTGTACTGTTTAACTTCCCATTTGGGATGACTTTATTTTATAAGAATAACTTTTCATGTGTTACAAAAAGTATCTTAAAAAACTTAAAAAACTTTTCAACACTAAAGAAAAGATGGAAATATCATTTGTCACACATGAAAGTTGCAGAGTAAATTAATGCCAAAACTCATAAACAGTGGTGCAGACTGAAATTGTCACGATTTGTTCTCCTTTATTTTAAAACTTTAAAATGAATAAAGTGAATGGCTTCTCATAAAGTAAAAATTGTTGTATTTTGATTTCCTCAACAGCACTTGGAAAACACTATTAGTTTCATTGTGGTTGGAAGCAGAGCCTTTCTCGATTAATTTTTACAAAAGTTCACATCAGAATTAACTACATCAGCTGATTTACTGCATCTAGTAATCTGATTACTTGGAAGACGGTTATGATTAAATTGGTATTACAAAAATGTTAAGCAGTAAAGATAACACCAAAAAGGTTCATAATGTAAGTACAGCTTTAGGATAGAACATGTCATTTACAATAATTGATTAATTTACAATTTCATACTAAATACTAAATATTGTTTTGCACCACAGATAACTCCCTGGGGGCTTTGGTCTATGTTGTAGTGTTTGTGTCAGTAGGGATACATTCCCAGTGGTATTGCATTCATTCACTTTAAAGTTTAAGGAAGTTGTCCAAAACAGCCAAATACAGATGTTTGATATAAAACAAAAATCTGATAATCTGATAAATGGTGTTATCAAATTGCACCTAAATTTTCTATAAATAAAACATGACAAATGCATGTTTGTTGCAAGAGTCAATGCAGTAAAAGGAAGGGTGTGGTTTTGATGAAAAAAAACCCCATTGTTCTTAGAACACATGATAAAGCAGTACGAAAATACCTAAACTGAAGAGTACGTGCTTTCAATGAAAACAAAGCACAGCCACACGGCTGGCTAGTCTAGTCCCAGACTTACTTGCCAGAAAACGCACACTGTGCTGAGTATATTGCCCGATACTAATGCACAACTTGTGATTCACGTTGACTAGGCCTAAAAAATAAAGACATTTTACTGGAATTATGTGTGCAGGACGGACTTAAACATTTTGAGTCACGCAAAAAATAAAACGGTGAGGGGGTTGATTAAAACATGGAAATCTCTAGAAATCAGAAATTTCACATGCCTGATAGTAAAGAATCTTAGATACAAATCCCTTGCTACACTCCTACAACAACACATGCATTTGCCGATAGATCCTACTTCACCTCATCACCACCACTTCTCACAATGTATCTGATCCGGTCTGACCCCTTGTCTCTCTAGGTGTGTCTCCATGTCTGCTATCATGGGTGGGGGGCCACATAGGAAGCATCTCAGTCTGTCTTTGTCCAGTCTCTGCAGTGATGTGGCTATATCTGCCTCGTTTATCCTGTGGTCTGTAGTAAATGAAGACAGCTCACTCGGATGCAAACTCACACATACATTTGCTACAAATTTGACCCCAAACCACTGAATCTAACACAATGAATGTGTCTCACAGCAATACGCTTTACCACGTTTGTTTTTCTTTTACGAGGTATCAGTGAATTCTCTTTAAAAAAATCACTACGCATAGTTAAAGATCCAACTGCTTTCATTACAACCGACATTGTTGACCGTGTACATAAATGTATGTTTGCCAGTGTACATTTTTTTTATTGTTCCAGTAACTTTAAACATATCAGTATGAAAGCAGCAACCTGTCTTTATGACTACTTATAACTGTTGTCATTTTAAACTCAAAACACAAAATACCAATGTGTAGTACTTTACCTGATATGTGGCTGGCTGGTACAATGGTCTCTTTGGTGATGTAAAAGTGGCAGGATATATTTTCTGTATCACTTGCTATCGTCTGAATTGAGTCCTGAATTAAGTACAAAACAAGTCAGGTGTGTTTACAAACACAAATGCCCCGCAACCGTGACTGTTCCCATGACATAACACCACTCTTTTAACATCAACTTACATGTACCTTGGTCACATGGAACATTCATTGACAGCATTAGTGTCTTCTGTAGGTTTTATATGAATTAATCCCTAATCCCTATAATCTCAGAATAAAAAAAAGATTTCTATTGTTTTAGCCACTGTGAACTTGACCCTTGACCTTTTGGCCCCAAATTCAATAGGCTTCTTAGGATTGCCAAGAACAATCCACAAACCAAATTTGAAGTTCATATGTTAAGTATTTCTCAAGTTATCGCGCTGACAAGATTTCTATTGTTTTAGCCACTGTGAACTTGACACTTGACCTTTTGACCCCAAATGCAATAGGCTTCTTAGGATTGCCAAGAACAATCCACAAACCAAATTTGAAGTTCACATGTAAAGTATTTCTCAAGTTATTGCGCTGACAAGATTTCTATTGTTTTAGCCACTGTGAACTTGACCTTTGGCCTTTTGGCCCCAAATGCAAAAGGCTTCTTAGGATTGCCAAAAACAATCCACAAACCAAATTTGAAGTTCACATGTAAAGTATTTCTCAAGTTATCGCGCTGACAAGATTTCTATTGTTTTAGCCACTGTGAACTTGACCTTTGGCCTTTTGGCCCCAAATGCGAAAGGCTTCTTAGGATTGTCAAAAACAATCCACAAACCAAATTTGAAGTTCACATGTAAAGTATTTCTCAAGTTATCGCGCTGACAAGATTTCTATTGTTTTAGCCACTGTGAACTTGACCTTTGGCCTTTTGGCCCCAAATGCGAAAGGCTTCTTAGGATTACCAAGAACAATCCACAAACCAAATTTGAAGTTCATATGTTAAGTATTTCTCAAGTTATCGCGCTGACAAGATTTGTCCGGACACACACACACACACACACACACACACACACTTGTTTCACATGACTAGTGTGGACTTTCCATTGCTTTCGTGTAGTTAAGAAAAACCAGTGAAAAAACTCATTTTTCTCAAACTGTGAAAACTCTTTCAACCCAATTTTTTTTCTATGATTCCCTTTAGTGTTTCTCTTCATTCTGCTACAGATAAACCTAACCCAAAAATGCCTCTAAACCTGTTTTCCAGAAATGGGGAAACACTGTGTGGACGTGGGGTAAGTCCACACAACGTCGGTGCTACCTACATTATGTGGACGTCTTTTGTTCGGAAGTCCACACTGCGTATGTAAAACAAACTCACCCACCCACCCACCCACCCACCCACCCACCCACCCCCACCCACCCACCCACCCACCCACCCACCCACCCACCCACCCACCCACCCACCCACCCACCCACCACCCACCCACCCACCCACCCACCCACCCACCCACCCACCCACCCACCCAATTAGCCAATATGAACCCACCTTGAATATAAGCTCATCAGTATGGGATGCACTGTACAGAAACTCCACTCTCCCTGGCCTGTACGCGCTAGATTCTGACAGACTGCGTACGTGGAGATCCCTGGCGTGTTGGAGTATGGAATACATCGGGTTGATGCCGATACCTCCTGCTATGAGTAGGATGTCCCAGCTAGGATCACTAGGTGAAGGGTCATAGATGATCTGGTCACCGCCCACACGAACACCAACCCTGGCTCCAACTTGACACTGCAAAAAAAAACACACACAGGTAAGTGTAACTAGGCTGTGCATCGGAACCAGGTACCCGGGTACCCGACCACTGATGATGTCAGGAGCCTGTTCAAGCTTATGGAATCCAGTACCCGTTATTAACTTTACATATTAGTAACTTCTCAGGAAATGAAAAGGAAAGCTTTTGAATGTCATTTATGTGGAATGAAAAAATGAAAACCAGGCTACAAAATCAAATCAGATTCATGTTCATGACACTTGCCAAAATGCAATTTACATCGCAAAGCCAAAGAGCTCAGCTCACTTTTTGTTCAACCAAGCAATACAATTTTGAAGAAAAGCATATCCTCCTACTAGAACCAGAATTGTCTGAAATGCTTTTATTCCTCACAACATGTCTGAAAAGTGACCAATGGCGATTACATTTTAGACATTTGGTGACCGCTTCAGACATTTTATGTAAACCTGTAAAAGACATAAAAAGTCTGAAATGGTGACCAGATTTCTTAAATTCAATTGCTGGTTTTTACATTTCAAACATTTTGTCTGCAACGAAAGCGAATCGGACATTTCTGGTTGATAGCGTTACAAATGCACTGTTACTCATGCATTCTTATTACCTGCTTATGAACCCAATATGCTGGGGCATGTTCACTGTACTTCACTGCTAAGCCCATTCTTAAATCCTTCATTAGGGACAAGGGAGGTGTGAACATGGAATAGCCACCCACTGTATGCACGCCGGGAATGAAAAAGTCAACCCTTGAAAACAGAGACAAAAATGATACTGTAAATAAAAGTGGGTGGCACAGTGCAGGATATCTACATGTATTTGGGCCTGAAATTCTAGCACAACTTCTAACACCACACAGTCAATCGTACTGTTTGTCCCATGACTGACTACACACTTTGGATGTACAGTGAACCTGCCTGCTTATTGGTGAAAAGCTATCTACATTCGTTTGTTGTAACATTTAATGCCTTAACATGGGCCGTTTTGTTTTTCATTCGAAGTCTCATTTAAAAAACAACTTTTTGGGGGTGAAACACAAAAATAAAACACAGACAGTACATTTTTAACCCTAAGCATGCTAAGTGAGGATTTAGGCATAAGAATCGAACAGTAAAATTGGTCAGCCTATTAAATGAATCCATCCACAAACAGCTAACGAAATCTGTTAGCTGTTTGATATTTTCTGATTCAGCAAGACTAGGATTTAACTTCATGTATGAGTCTTTCTAATGCAGACAGGTTACGTTGCACATTACCTCTGTGTGAACCCACATGGTGGGTGGGTAGTCACTTTTCTGGACAGCAAGGTCAAAGGTCGTGTCGTGCTGGAGTCTGCTGGGGGCTGAGGTCATGGAGAAACCCGTGAACAACTCAACACCAGGGATGAAAAAATCCACCCTAAATTTAAAGATTAATGCTACAGTAACTAAAAGTGTTGAGAATAAATGGTATTGTTAAATGCCAAACAATTGTTTGATTCAGTAGAGTCCAGTAAATATGTTTGGGTTATTGGTTTTGGTCTTTAAGTTGATTGGCTGACAGTACCACATGGATGGGAATGCGTATCATGCACTCGTCGTCTGTTGCGCACTCGTTCCTAATTAAACATTGCGCGTCTGATCTGTTGTCTCCAGCCAGCTCTGTCATTGGTCTCCTTGTTCAGGTCTATGCTGCCTAGGGCTTTGAGGTCGTTGTTAATTGTGTCTAACCATGTTCGTTTTTTTCCCCCTGCCGGCCAGCTGCATTTCAAACTACCAAGGCGCACTTCAAAATTTAGCTTGATACACTTCCACACTGAGCTGTGTGAAAACCGCCAAATGGAGGTGATTGCACAGTATTAAGCAGAAGCAGAGGCATTCAATAAGCTTTTTATTGTCAACAAATGAATACATGTCTTGTGCTCACTGCATGTACCTACCATTGCCCTGCTTTGAAACTGAAATGTGGGTTTGCAACTTGCAGCGTCAGCAGTTTGACTGTAGCAGAAGCATCTTTTACTGACACAATGGTGGCATCACTGATTCCCTGCAAGAAAAGTAAATGGAATCATTTGCACTCCACAATACTACCCTTGCCATGCTGGACCTTGCTCACAATACTTGTAGTCTTACCAACAAGGCCAAGAGCAAAGAACACACATGATAAAGGGTATAGTTTCCCATATCCTTACCGACTGCCTGAAGTTGTGGGCTGTTCTGTCAAGATGGTCACTCATTTTTCTTGTCAATCTGGTGAGTGGTGGAACAAATTGCAATTTATTGAAAAGTATTTGGTGAATTGTCAATAGGCCTAGCCTACATGTACTATCAACTAAATTATAAAAGTTGTGTGGATGCGTGGTCGAGAGGCTAGGCCGGCTAAAGGCCTAGGGTACATAACTAAAGTTGACAAACCATTTAAAGTTTTGAGTCTTAGCATTGCTTAGGGTAAGGGTAAAGTACTACTGCAACCATTAAAATGGTATTTGTAAATAGCGAAGATTACATTACATTTTACTATGGTCGCGGACTCCCTAATATCACGGCATCCCTTATCGCGGCATCGGAAATTTCTCTTTTTGCGTTGCCAAAACTCCTTCAAGTGGCAATTTTCGTCCAGTTTACCAGGCATTAAGGACTTTCTGCCGAGTTGTAAAAATGGTGTGTTTTTCGGGACCTTAACCTTTTTTACTATAGGCCTAAATATTAACGTTTTCCTAAACTTGCAAATTTTCCCTCACCGTGTCTGCTAAGTACCTAAAAAAGTACCGTCTATATTTTAACATAAATCTTTTATGGTGTCAAACCCCCGCCCCCCCCCCCTCCCCTACCCACCCACCCTATCAGCCTATTTATTTTCAATGAGTGATCAGATCAGTTTATCAACTTTAATAAATTAATGCCTGGCCCTAGTCCGGTCATCCCTGCTACATGCTGGTCACAACTTAGCTTGAGTGACTCCAGCTGACATGCTCATATTCATTCACATGTAGCGCTGGAGGAAGGCCTGTGCGTTTCCATGTGGTAGCAAGAGACCCTAAAAAATGGCCTCTCCCAAAAATTGTTCATTTTCACCTCTAATATCCCACCCCAGAGTTCACCCACATACCTCATACATTCAGCAGTTATTTACGAAGCCTAATGATCGATTTGAAACAAGACCAACAAAAAAAAAGTGAAAAATCTTGACGATTTCGGTGGCTTGTCCGTAAAAATACGCCTGTTCCAACGGCTGTCTTCCATTTTGTTTTGCTAATTATATTAATGTATGCATCACGTGATGACATAAAAAAAAATCGGCGCGCACGATGTATTTGGGTACCACACCGCTTTCAGGCGCCGCAAGTGAGTTCAATTTTCGTCTGGTGCGTTGCCGTGGAGAGCATTCTCGTTGTCTTGCTTTCCGCGACAACGCACCAGACGAAAATTGAACTCACTTGCGGCGCCTGAAAGCGGTGTGGTACCCACATACATCAGGCGCGCCGATTTTTTGATGTCATCATCACGTGATGCATACATTAATATAATTAGCAAAACAAAATGGAATACAGCCGTTGGAACAGGCGTATTTTTACGGACAAGCCACCGAAATCGTCAAGATTTTTCACTTTTTTTTTGTTGGTCTTGTTTCAAATCGATCATTAGGCTTCGTAAATGACTGCTGAAATTATGAGGTATGTGGGTGAACTCTGGGGTGGGATATTAGAGGTGAAAATGAACAATTTTTGGAGAGGCCATTTTTTTAGGGTCTCTTGCTACCACATGGAAACGCACAGGCCTTCCTCCAGCGCTACATGTGAATGAATATGAGCATGTCAGCTGGAGTCACTCAAGCTAGTCACAACTTACATTTTCGTGATTCCTACAGCGTGCTTTGAGGTCAAACACAAACACTGGTGAGGAGTGCGGAACAATAGACTAACAAGCATCACGCTCATTCTCCTATTAATAAGATTTAAAAGGCCCAGCTCAAAGTCCGTGGAAAAGCAGGACGAAGGTTGACCCACGGTGTATTATGGATCGCTGCATGTATGTAGCGCCACCGTGCGATGGCGATAATCTGAAAGCGCTGGTGACGTTTTTCAAATCTTGCCTCCGCGCTCTCATCTCTCGATCAAGAATCTATATAGTACTGTGGTATCGAACTTAATGGACCTGCAAAAATAGTTTCACAGTGGTTTTCCTAACAGCCTTTGTGATGATATGATCCTCCTAAATAAAAAGTATTTGTTTGGGGGAAAAAAAATGAGGAACTGTCATTCCGGTGTATAACAATCCACGGTGGAGTCCCTGTTGGAACGAATCCGAGATTTGAGAAACCCCTCAATGTCAGTGAATTATAAGTGGGCTATTCCATTTCTAAATAAAGGGAACCATGAAGCAGGGGTGACCTCCGACCTTTCGCAGCAATGTCAATGAACTTTAAAAGGTAAACATGGCGACGCTTATGAAAAGTGACAAGAGAAAAGTTTCGGCACAACTGAAGACAGAAATAGCCCGAAACATGGGGCATCAGCAGCTAAATGAATTGCTGGATGTTGTTCTCAATCCGAGGACTTCGCTGGACAGCAGTGAGAACTTGGATTGGTGCCGATCGTTGATTGCAGGGGGCGTCGCGTTCGAGGACTTTGCGAAGAGTGTGCGTCACTACGACAATGCGTCGACTTGTGGTCTCGTCTGGACGTCTAATTTTGTGGCGTACAGGTAATAATTTGGCGATCGTGTAGTTTTGATCAAATTAGAGTCAAGGGTGTTTTAGTTAGTACTCATTTTAACTCAAAAATGACCTTTTTAAAGCAGATTTCTCTCAAAATATTGACACGTTTTCTGTAATTTTTGAAAAGTTTTTACTGACTTGGTATGCTTGGGGTAGAAATTAAAATTTTCCTACGCGGATTACAATTGGTGCTGTGTGATTCAGTACGCCTTGCGCATTCACGGTACATCATGATTGTGCGATTAATTCTTAAATTCTTTGATTGATATCTTCCATATACAGATGTCGTACATGTGGTATATCTCCATGCATGTCAATCTGTGCAGACTGCTTCCATGGAGCTGATCACACTGACCATGATTTCAACATGTTTCGGAGCCAGGCTGGAGGGGCATGTGACTGTGGCGACCCCAACGTGATGAGGAGTGCTGGGTCAGACTAGACACATTTTATATATTTTCATAAGTTTTTATTTTTGTGAAGAATTAAATATTGATTGGACTGGACTACAGCACTGATAAGAGATCAATTCTGCAGCATGTGCGTACCTTACATTGATCTTTGATTCCCTTTACATTACAGGTTTTGTTCGTTACATGGTCCGGATAAACTCAAGAACCTGACCGTTCCAGCGGACTTGTTGCCAATGGCTGATGCTGTCGTCCCAAGGGTAGTCTTCCGATTTGTGCTATATCTTCGGGATATTTTTGAGAAACGTAAGTTTCTAAACTGTGGTACTGTGAAATATGACACTCGTTGTACACGTTATACATTTATGCAAGAAGCATCAAGGAGTTGTTATAGTGCTAACATATCAGTACAATGTCCCTCCATTTGTCCTGTGTTCTGGATGCAGGGTCTGAAATTCCTGCAGTGCGCTTCAGCTTAAGTGAGGGGGAACCACTCCTGGGCTTGCTTCATGAATTATGCAACATGGGCGGAGCTATGCGAAGCGTGATGACACGGGCCCTGACAGATCAGCAGCTTTACAAGGACCTCAATGAGGGTAAAGTATTCAAGAATTGTTTTTGTTAAAATGCTGAAACGAAATGTTTTTGCCAAGTTTTGAACTCTTTGAGAAGAACAAGCTCATATATTTCTGCTCAAATCGTGCCCATTAGAAATGGTGAGATACATCAGCTCCAATGTTATAGCACATAGTGTCCTACTGAGCTGAAATTTAAACTGGTTAGTTTTTATGCACCCTAAGATTTGGAGCAATTTGGTTGCTTTGAACGAAAACAAATGCACGAAAAGCTACATTCCTTTAACTTTGCTCCTTGACTGTAATGCTCTAAATAATACTTTATCCCTTTTCCATGTGCACAGGGTCTAGTGGCTGTTACAGTCAATTCAAACGCGATATTAGCCAATCACGTGAGATCTTGAACAGTGCACAGAGTATCCTAACCGTTCCAGAGTCACCAAAATTTCTGAGAGGTGAGGTGAATTTATATATCAACTTGAAGGTTTGATGAATACTTCCTGTGAAAGCATCCTGTATAAAAAAAAGCAAAGTGAATTTCATGATCTCACCAAATTAAAGTTTCATTGTGACATTAGCGAGTATTTCTGAAGAATTGGCTTCGCTCTGAATTTCCCTGGAAGTATGAACTGTTTTAACTCGACAGTCCAGTTTCCAACTTCATTGTCATAGTTTGATATGTCTCTTAAATTTTCTGAAAAGTCAGTTTCAAAATGTTTTTGAATATTGAATGCAGGCATTTACATTTAATTACTGGCACAATATTTAAATAGGAAATATTTAATTTAACGGAGCATGCTCTCATGTTGTTAATTAAATTGCATCATTGCATTGTTTCACTTTCCTATCTAGGTAATCCAGCAGTCACCTATCCTCTAATGCCACTCAGCTTTGTTGAGGAGCTTCTGTTCTGGGCTGTAATATTTGAGTTTCCGGAGAAAATTGTGACCCTTCTACTTAAAATGCTACCAGACAATAGTTACAAGGTATATAGCAATATTCAAATTGTGTAAATTAAATGTACAATTGTTGACGCTTGTGAAGTGGGACATGTTTTTCTGCGCTTGAGGGACACATAGCACATGGATGCAAAAAACACATATTCCACATCACAACAGTCAAGAATTGTTTAGTATATTGTGCGAAAAAGTAAAAAAGATAACGGTTTTTACTCACCATTCAAAAAATAAATGAAATCATTGCAGTGTAAACTAGTATGACTACTGCGAGATTTCCTGCCAAATTTGTTAAATAGCACAGTGAACTCAACTTTGTTATCAAAACTTAATTTTTATTTTTTTTGGTATATTAGGACACATTCACCAGGTCATTTGTGAAGTTCTACGGTCGTATTGCCATGTCACTCGCTACCTCCACACAACCTGATAAGTTGTCCAGTCGCGTGGTTCACATCAGTGTGCAGCTCTTCAGTAATGAAGAATTGGCCATACAAATGACAGAGGAGCTGCAACTGATCCACATACTCATCGTGTCGCTGCAATGCCTGCTGAAACGCACACTGATGGACAACCATTTAAAAGGTATTTGGGATTTTGTAACAAGGAGAAGGAATTTATAAGAATTGTGTTTAACCCATTGGCACTTGTACTACACATTGAAATGCATTGTGTTTATTTACTGAAGAATTAATAAAAACCATGAAGTGCTCAGGTGGTTCCAGGTGCTACAGGGAGTAATAGGCAGGGCGGTTTGGGGCAGTACAGTCACAACAGGGTTAATTTAAACTAAAATAAACCGTGCACACAGTTGAATGGCCAAACTCAAGGATCCGTGCAATGTGTTTTACACTGGACTCTATGTTGTGTAAATACCTATCCATTCCTCTAAAAATCAGGAGGTGCATTATAATAATTGCTTAAAGTTAAACAAAGAACTTGACTGTTTTTAATTCTTACGAATTCCCTAGTAAATTGGATCTAGCCATGCTTTGACTGGAGGTGATTGATATGCCAACTGCACCTACCGGTTACCTCTCTTTTCTGTTGATGGAATTTGGCTAGTCACAGTGTTTACTCAAATGTGATCTGTTTTTTACTAGTCTGTATATATGTATGACAGGGGAAGTGGAAGAAAGTTTGACTGTGACTGATCAAACAGGGTTGAATCCTTTCTCTGACTTTCCATGTACACTCAGGCACCCCTGGGACTCATCGAAACTGCCAAGTTATCAACTGTGACCATCAAGTCATGCGGCAACATTGCTACTGGCCGGTCATCAGCGATCTCTCCAACATTCTGTCCCATCGCTCAGTAGTCAACAAGTTCTTCACTGACCCGAGCCTAGTCAAGATGTGGACCAACATCCTGGCCATGTTCATGTGTGAGTAGAATGGACTGTGTGTGATGAACAGTAAATGGCAGTTTGTGATCACTTTTGAGATCCCGAGTGGCAAGGACCAATGTGTGCCTACTGGTCGTGCGCATAAGGCTCAAAGGAGCACGACTGAACTATAGAATTCATGTGACAGGGAACAATTTGTATAATGCCAGACTGACTGTCACAATTTCTGTACTTTTGTCTCTTTGAAGGTATGAATCTGAATGAAAGGGAGTTACACAACCATGTTGAGTTTGAGCCGCTTGCCTACTCCGCGGCATTCTCAGCCGAGATTGAGGCCTGCGCTGCCCCCATGTGGCAGCTCTATGTGCATTGTAAAGATGAAGTAAGTATTTGTTTAAGGGCAATTGCAGTGTTATTAAAGGAGGTGTAATGATCGTTATGGAGCCAATTAAGCATGATATCAAATAAGTGATTCAGAGAAATGATCTGGCTAGTTCAATTATAATGATTTGGTAAAAGAATGGGATAATGTTTAACTTTGTAAGTGTCATTTCAATCAAAGGGAAGAATATCGTCAAAGAGGTTGAAGCTTGATGGACAGATTTAGAAATGTACCTGTATTTTACCGGACTTATCAATGGGTTTTATTTGTTTGTTTGTTTGTTTGTTCCTTGCAGAGCACAGCCCACTACACTGAAGCACTTTTGAATGCCTGTTCAGAGACCATCACGGACTGGCTAGAAGCAGCAGATGTTTACAAGTCTCTAGACCCTTACCAAGTGTCCTTCCATATTCCATTGTTACGCTACTATGCTCTATTCTTAAGCCAGGTAACCGTTGTCTTATCATTTGGAAAACATTTCCTCTTCATGGTGAAGTGAAAACAATAAAAAGCATTATAAAAAGACAGGATAAAGACCAGCAGCCGAGAGGTAGTAAAAGCTTATATAGAGGTAGAAAAATGTTGTCCTACCTTGTTTTTAAATCTGTTTTCTATATTTTGTTTTTACCACAGGCAGTTACAAAACAAGGATTGGCAATTTCCCCACAAAAAGATTTCTTAAAAAGTTTGATGAATTTCCCTTTACAGATTCAGGTAAGATATTGCTTTTCTGTTAATGACATTTGTAACGTTATTACATTGTGAATAATAATACTGGAGTTTATGGCGTCCATGGTATACAAGGTTTTATATGTGTTTCTGGTTCTATTTTTCAGGCATTGGTGGGTGAAATATCCTGTGGTTTATGGGTGCGGAATGGTTTCCAGATCAAACGACAAGCCATAACCTATATGCAGTGTCATTTCTGTGCCTCCATGATAGACCTCGATCTATTCTTACTTCAGGTAAAACCTTTGATTTTCTGTTAATGAGAATGGTGCTTGGCTACAAAATTGTGGTTCAGTCGATTTTTAAGGGGCTTGCACGTGTTATTTTACCTATGTTTGAATGAAGAACTTGTGAAATGTGAATTTTTTTAAACCAGAAACAATGCTGTACTGTACTTCTCAGACTACCTATTTACATGTAATAGTGTAGACAAATGGTGGTCAGTTTCTAATACAAAAGCACTTTCCTTCTTTTAGGCTTGTGCAGCACATCTGGATCCTGATTACTTTGTGGAAAAAGTGTTTTCAAGGCAAGTGATCTTTTATTCTTAATGTTACCAAATTCAGTCATGGAGGTAGTTCATTTTTATTTTGATGAAAGTCCTGTTGAATTTTTTCTGCAGCTTCAAGGTTCTGGAAATGCTTACATTCAACCAGTCCCACAGCCACAGTCAACTAGAACTTGACAAGGAGTCAGCCATGTTGGAGAGCGCCCTCACACTGTTAGTGACGCTTCTCAGTACCAGAACGCATTTGGGTATGTGACGATCATGAAGTTATATCAGATAGGGGAAAATATGGGTTTTTTCCCTGCGAGCTGATGTATTTGAAATTTCTTTCCAATTATATTGCCGTCAGTAGCGATTTTCTTCAAAGTGTTCTGAGACTTTCTGCTTTTTTGTTGAGTTCAGGGTTGTTTTATGTCATGCTTTGAGCAGAAAAGCTTCATCGAGATTGAAAAAATCTCTTATCAAAATGTTCTTATTTTCTCAATAAACCTTCTGTGTTGAAATATTTTCAGGAGCCACGGAAGAAGAGTTACTTCGTCAGGAAATGGTGGCCCTGCTGTGTATGCATGACACTACTCACAGCCGACTCACAGATCAAATATCCTTTAGCTGTGATGAACATATCTTGTTTTGCCCTTCACAAAAGTAACTTTATGTTAAAGAAATGAATAAATAAATTTTGTGGCTAACTGTCCTTTCTCACAGAAGAAGCTAAATTGCAAAGGCCGCAGCAAAGATCAAACCAAAGGCATGTAAAAGCGTCTTTTGGTTTTTCCAACATGTATGAATACAGAACTTGAAAGCGTTCAGTGTAACATTTGCAATAAAATCCTAACCCCCAAATCCGTCCATTTCTAAAAATGAAAAAGATTAAAACTGCTGTAATCTGCATACAGACTGGACTAATTTTGAATATACAAATAAAATTTCTTAAAAATTTCTTAAAATTACAGCACAAACAAATCTTTTGATTTTAATGTGGACAATTGTGGTATTACAGATTTCTTAACTGTCAGTGTACATTCCAGAGAAGACAGGATTATTCAGCACTAGTGAGAGTTTTGAGCCGTTGCTTGCTGAGGTATGTCAGCGTCGTTGTGTTAGCCTCAATTGTTTTCAGAACATTTTGTAGATTGCAGAGTGCCTTTAATGCTGCTCTATCGTCTTGGAAAAATTGATCTGGTCAGTTATACTGAGAAGAGTTTTTTTCCAGTAAAGGTACCACTGGCCCTTGAAAAAGTAACCGTGGAGAAACTTTCTTTATAATGTGTTTGGAATGGGCTTAAAATGGGGAAAAATAGCCATCACCCTGGCACATTCGACCAAACAAATCCAATGTGAACAGATGTTTTAATAAGCACTTGTGTTGCATTGTACTACATTGTATTTACTCCTTGATAAATCCATAAAACCATATCATGGTGGATTGGGGTGGTACAAGGAGTAATGGGTTAAAACATTCACTGTTAGTGTTCCAAGATGGCGGCCAACTGAAATCGGATTTGTTTTTTACTTGATCAGGTTGCTGACTACCATGACCCACTGTCTGAGAGAAGCAGTAGAGGTCTACAGCAAGGCCACTACTCTCCTAAACCCAGCGTCTGGGAAACGGAATTTGACCCAATCCACGTCCTGCTCAGATGCATGCAGAAGAAGGACTTCCAGAGTGCTATGGATCGATACAGCACCCAGTGAGTAGATTTGAGTGCTGTTATGAGTTACTGAAGTTTTGTGACTCGAGTAAATTCATTCTTGGGGATTGACTTTAGTTGAGTCTTTCTATTAAAGGCAGTGATTTGAATTGAGTCATGTTCTTAACACAGTCGAGTCGAGTCGAGTTGCATTCTTACTCGAGTCAGTTTGAGTCACTTGAGTTCTTATTTAGATTCACAGACTGAGACTAGGTTGAGTTTCAGTTGAGTCATGGATTCAAATCAAAGATAAATGTGCACAAGTCTACGGGGGGCAATCATAACCAAATTTAAACTTAAATGAAATCAAGAAACATAAAGAAAGTAATATTCACACCAAGGTTGGTGTATTAGAATACAAATGTGACAGTTCAAAGTTGTTGTAATGTTGTGCTTAATGCTTAGACCATGTGTGAATTGTCAGTTGTTTTCCTAGTTTATGCACATAACAGAGTGGCTTATTGACTACATTTTGGTAATTGATTTATGAAATATTTCCTAGTATGAAGCAAACAGCTGGACATTCTGGGAACAGTGACCTATGGCCTCCGTTCCAGCCGCTTAAGCAACCCCACCCTGCCCTCAAAACTCTCCATCAGCTGCTGCATTGCAAGACTCTCCATGGAGCTATATTCATTATTCTCCACAAGGTAATTCTGATAGCATTTTTATTTGATCCTGGAGATTTAAGTCTTAATTTAGATTTCTGTCACCAGACTCATCTCATTGAATATCAGGTATCCGTTGCAGTTTTCTACATACCACCTCAGAAGTTATCCTATAATAAACAATGCTAATAACTAATTGCAGGAATGTTCTGAGGAAGTTGTTCAAAACATTGACAACATATTCAAAGGAAGTATTCAATGCCCATATTTTCTTTGCTGTGTCCAGGCTGTCAACAGTAAATCCATCAGTGAGCCAGTACTATATCTATGCATTGCCCTGCTAGATATGATGCTGCAGTGCCCAGCAGACACCATTGCATCTAAGGTAAGAACTGTCACACACTACAGGGATGTATCTCTGTAGGTCCTCCTGCAATTGCCTGATTTGAGACTTGTTACAATTTTTCAATGCCATATTGGCACAATACTTTTCCTTTTATACCACAACACTTCAGGCCAAAATGTCAGAGTCTGCTAGTGGTGTGCATTTACGGGTAGTAGAGAACCGGGTACTCTATCGATTTAAAACACAGGTACCAGTGTACTCGTAAAAGAAACCCAACAGATGAATTGCACCGCTGACAGGTTGAATGATTGAACACATTCAGGTGTCGGATATCAAATGTCAACTCATCAGTCATTTGATATTGAGGCTAAATGCATATTTTAATGAAGTTTAATAAAAGAAATACAACATGGTTCATGTAGACAAATTAGTGCCTAATTACTGGTGTCTCAGTGTTGGCTGATAGAGTGAAGTACATAGCACCTACAGACCTCTAGTTGTTTTTTTCCCTTCTTCACATAAACTATTGTGTTTTCATAATACTGCTTGGCATTTTATGGCTTGATTTGATGTGGTTATTTCTTAGACTCCTACACCAGCAGTTATACAGGACGGCAACTTCTCCGCCATGTTTCCAGACAATCTGATTCTCAGCAACTTGGGTCATCGTATTCACGCGGTAGAGATCGTGTACGAAAAGCCGTCCTCATCCAGACAGGTATAAAACTCAGAAATATTGCTTCTCAATCAATTTGTGACACGGATGATGAGTACAACACCTCTCCATGTGATGGATTTGGTTAGTTGGGCCATTCCATAAATTTGGGGTCCAAAAGTGTGACATTTTTGTGTCCCTGTTACACCTGACTGTGTAATTTGCCATGTAAGAAGCATTCAACTTAGCATGGCACATGGCACGTATGCAGGTTTATGGCTTCTGACTAGCACCCCTTGAACAAGGATGTTAACAAATTGGGGAATTGCCAACATAGGGCTGGATAGCTCAGTTTGGTAGAGCATCAGAACAGCAATCTGGAGGTCGCAGGTTCAAATCCTGCTCCAGTCAATTTCTTTGTTCAACTGTTCAATTTTTTGTCTCTTATTAAAAAAGAGGACAGTTCACAGCACGGACCAACTCCTGCAACAACTGCTGGAGGAGGAGGTTAGTATCATCCATCAGAACCTGTTTGGACTAGCACCGATGGGGTTCCCTGGAGCTGCTGAACTAGAAGGAATGGAGGAAGGGGAGGAGATGTATGTGGAGATTGACGGCATCGGAGAGGAAGAAGAGATTGATGGGATAGAAGAAGATGAGGATGAGGATGTGGAGGAGATGGAAATGGAGGTGGGACTGGGGGAGGAGCTTTATGTTGACACGCCCGCTACCAGTGAAGGAGCGATGGCCACTGAGGTATGTAGCTACTGTTGAAAAGTTAGAGTGCTAGGAAGAAACAATAGGAGATGAGAAGGGGTAAAGAAGGGAGATGAAAGGCCCATTTTGTGGTTAGAATGAAAAGACAAGTGAACAGGTGTTCCATTGTTAGACAGTTTGCCTTTAAAATGGCACATACAATTATTTGCATTTACCCAATTAGTAACCTAGCTATAAACTATTGGCAAAAAATGGTTTGGATTAAAAATCGTACTGGTACTAAATACCCAGTGAATTTGTTCCGTCTGGCTTGCTGTCGTGTAGAAGAAATTAAGAAATGTAGGTGCATTGCTTTTTCACTTTTTTTTTTTAAAAAGTAGAAAATAATATCCACTGAGCTGAAAGTTCAACAGGTTATGTTTTGAAAACACTTCTTTGGATTTTGACTGGTTTTATTAAAAATGAACAAAATACATGAAAAGCAAATGATTCTACATGCCTGTAACAAAGAGAGATCTTGTATGTTTTTGTTACCAATTCTTGATTTTCGTGTAAATATTAATATGATAAAAGTCACAGGAAAGATCCACATTACAATCTGTCACCAAGAGCTTATCATGGAAAGGTTAATTTTGCTGTGCATTATCAGAAAAACAATCAAGAACTACGCACCCAATTCTTAACCACTTTAGTTTCCGTTTCTGGTTTATTTTAGTGAATGATTTTTTTTTCATTTTTAAATAAAATAAGGCATCATCTAGCCGCAGCTCAGTCGAGCCATCTACGTCGCCCTCAGCCTCAGCAGGCCGACCCAGAAAGCCTGCCAAGGTCAGTACTGTCTTGTGGACACCCAGTAAGATGCTGACCATCAACTTATCAATGCTGGAGCTGTTGGTCAAGTTACACGCCAAGATGGCCGGTAAGGAAGGTTCCTATACTCCACCGTCCATGAGGAGGGATACGGAGGCAGGATCACTGCCGGGTGGTGTACAGGTGAGTGTTCAAATATATGTTGGCGTCACAATAAGTGCATATAAAACACTTCAACTTTGGTACTTACATGTATATTGATGAAACATATTTTGATCTATTTACAGGTGCTAGACATTTTAGTTTATTTTTGCAGAAATAATTCCACAAAGGAAATGTAAAAAGGTTTGATTTGGGTATTGAATACTTTTGATGTGTTTAGGTTGGCGGTGGGATGTTCTATGTCAAGCGATTGCTTGATAAGATCTGTCGCATGCACCCAGAGAGTCAGAAGCAATTGGAAGACTTGTGTAGACTCCACCAGCAGCCTACAGCAGGAACAGAACAACCTGATGCACAGAGCACAGCTGCTGATAGGTATTCAAGCAGTACCACAGTAATACTAAGCCAATACATCAGCTTGTTTCAAGCTGTTAGGGCCTGTCTCGGGACGATTGAGTTCCTGATATGTTTGGGTAGAATCATTCTAGCAGAGATACTCTCTATTTGTCCTGGACATGTTCAAGGAAAATTTTCATTAGCAACTTCTTGACTCATCCATACTGATAACTTCATTTCGGGAAGATTGTGGGGAAGTTGTTCAGAATCCTGAACAGGATGCCTGAGACTATTATTCACTGACAGTCACTGACAGTCAGGTATTATTCACTGACAGTCACGTAAGGTATTTCATAATCATTTGGTAGTTTCATTTTTTTAATGTTTGCAATGTTGTACGTTACCTTTAAGAATCATTAGTCGCCAGTGAAATGCTTTGTGTTTATGGAAGTATGTGCATTTCACTTAACTGCGAGTTATACCACCGTTGTTTCTTGGGTAATACACACTATATCAAGGGGCTCATATTTTGCATCTTGCTCATTATGTCTACAAGGAGGAAGAAAGCTCGAGAGGCTCAGCAGAAACTGTTTGCCAAGCTAGCTGCAGAGCAGAAGAAATTCATTGAGAAATCTCTAGAGACAGGTATTTATTAAGCAGACTTTATTTTCCTCATATGTGTACTCAAGACAGAGTGTGTTGTTCAGTGTCATTTTCACAGTCATTTAATATCTGTTTGCACTCAGAGCAGACAATATTTTGTACTTTCCATCACTGTATGTTCAGAGGAACCCTGTTCAGGGATGGCCTTACTTAATTACCTGTTTCAATTCAGAACCAGTCAGTGTTTATATCCAATTATTTCTATGTTCGAAAGATCCCTTGGAGGTACATAATGTATCAGCTAATGCAGGAGCGATGGCCTTGTCACTGTCACAATATAAACATACCTATTTCCTTTAACAGCAGTCCATATTTTTATTTCCTATTTCTCATCATTTATACGTTATACGTTAGAGGCATCCCACCAATTTAGGGATTGTCTTATTACAATTTCAAACAGTCAATATTTTTGTATTCCATCATTTATACGCTCTGGATCCCCTTTTATCACCAACTGCAGGAATATAGCCAAATCAAAATCTATATCTATTTGCATTCAGAGCATTTAATATTTGTGTATCCAACCAATTATATGTTCAGAAGATCCCTTAGGGGAGTCACCTATAGCAGATGAGGAGGTGCAGGCTGCAGCAGCCGAGAAGGTCCCCGACAGGGAGATATTTGAATGTGTCATATGTGGCCAAACAGCACCCTCTACTGGTGACAAACCAATCGGTATGGTGGCACTGATGCAGGCTACTGGCGGTAAGCTTTTATGGCTGTGTAACACAAAAAGTAGCACTTTTGGGTCTTTGACCGGGGGGGGGGGGGGGGGGGGGGAGGGAGTTCAATTTTGTTAGGCTAGTGGCACAAAGTTGATACAGAAAAAATTAGACAAGGAATTAAGTATTGGGTTGTCGCCCTTCACTGATGTGTTTTATGTACAGCGATGTCTGTTACAGTCAGAGAAAGGAAATTTGTCATGAAAGAACCAGTCACCAGTTGTTCAACAAAATCTGCATGCTTCAACTTTCAGGTCTCAATATTTGTATTGATTGAATCTTGTGCAGTACTTGGCCACCGGTCACAGGTATCAGAAGCAAAGACTTTACCAACAAGTGAGAATGAAATGATCAGTACGACGGGACGAGGTAAAGAGGTCAACCAGCAAAGGAAACTGGACCTACTGAATCACTTTGATAAGGTAGGCATGTCCATATTGTCCCTATTAGTCGCTGAGAAGATTATGTGTTTGTATTTGTAAAGAAATGATGTATGAAAACAGTGCAGCTAAACATAAAGTGAGCCATTTAGGTGGAATGAATTATGTTCATTAGGAAGCTATGTAAATGGGGGACTGGATGACCAGTTTTGAATGATAAATGGGCATGTTATGCACAAATCAATTTGATATTCATGTAGTGCCAAGTTGGAATTTAGTTTTTGATTTCACAGCTGATCTTATCATTTGAATTCTTTGTTTCAGTCATCTGTGCAGATGTCTATTAACGTGGGTTGGCATGGCGGAGTCCACATTCAGAGCTGTAGGCATTACATTCATCTAAGCTGCCATGAATCCTACATCAAATCATTACGGGTAAGAAAACCTGTCAACGACCTTGCCTTGAAATAGGAGGGAGTATTTGCTCCCCACCTGGATCCCGCTACACACAGACTTTGTTAAACTGTCCCCCTCCCCCCCCCCCTCCCCATTTCAGAAATGTTCAGATGCCATTGTCAGAATCGCTGTCCAATCACTCAGATTCCTACTTAATAGACAAAAACTTAAATACTCTCTTGTTACTTGGAGGGTACCAACTTAAATATGTCTTTTTGTCAGCAGTGTTGTACTGGACTACATCAGAAACCTCACATGACCTCCAGTCCCAAATCACCAACCATTCATCAAATGAACTATGACAGAAGCTTCTTTTGTTATTGTTGCCCTGTGTTACTGGTGATGGGACTTGTCATAAACTGGACCACAATTTGCTTCTCGTTGGACTCTGAAGGGGACTCAAGTACAACATTGTGGCTGCATCAATGCACATTGATAACATGGTTTACAGAACCTGTGAATTACAAATACTCAATGATATTTATCTTCTATCCAGCAGCAGGATTACCAAACTCCTCAACTGCAAGTCAGAGAGAAGGGTGAGTACGAGTGCCCGCTGTGCCGACAACTGGCTAACTTTGTCCTGCCATGCCTGCCGTTCACGGAGGGCTGCTCACCGTCAGTGGCAGCTGCAAGCTCCGATAGCCGAAGTCACGCCGTTGTCGCAGCAGAGGTAGCTGAGAAACTGAGACTGAGTAGGGAAGGCAGCAGGGAATCTCTTAAGGTGAGATGACGATCCCCCAAATGTTGGTTGCTGTGTCATATGTGAAGCATTCTGGCAAAAGAGATAGAACTGGGCAGAGGCTTTAGTGGAAAAATATGCACAAAAAAAAAAAAAACCCACATCTAGGGGTAATATTTTTTTATTTTCACAAATGTTGATATTGTAATCTTTCATACGTCAACAACACATATTTTAAACAAATAGTATAAAAATTTTGGAATGAAAGCATTTTAAAATTAAAATAATGACATCTTTCATTTTCACGACTACAAAATTACCAAAATTCAAAGCCTTTTTTTTCAGTATTTTATTTTTTTGACATGTCGATAAATGCAAACTTTAAACAGCCGTAACTTGTCTAAGGAATGTCTGAATGAAGTGCAACAAACAGTATTGTAAGGAGAATTTGATTCTCTTTCCTAATGAGGTTTTTGCTGAGCAAACATCCATCATGAGGAATGTTTTTTTCTGTCTAGCATTGTAGTTACTGACAAGTCGGAACTGACATATTTGAAAATGTACAATTCTGGCTTCTTGTTCCCTAGGACATCACTCTAGCAGCCAAGAGTGTGTTTCTGTTCAGACTCTTGAGAGAGAACAGGCTACCCAAGTCAGCGTATGGTGATCCCCTACTTCCCGTGGATCATTCTGAAATGGTGGATGTTGTGCTTCGATCGACAGCAAGGTCAGATTCCGATTATGTTGTTAGATTGTAAGATTGTTCTAATCGGACAACAGACATTTACCGATGTTTTTTCTATGTTTGTCCATTAATTAAAGGAATGTTGGTAAATGGTAATTATCTGGATGTGCAAAATCCTCGATAATGTCTACAAGATAGTTTCATTTTTTTTCTGAATGCGCAATGCAGTTAAATACACACATTTGTGTTGCTATTTTCTTAATCAACAGAGTCAACTTGGAGTTGGACCTAGTGGTCCGTGAAACTTTGTTACAACCCTCGTCTCAGTCTTCCTCAAACAAGAGAGGGTGCATAGGTAAGACCATCATCCAAAAATGATAAACTCAAAATGATTTCACCCTCAGTCAGTTACATAATACCACTATTATTTTTGCATGGTTCAGAGTGGTACATTGTCATGTGGCCCACTCAATGTTTGCACTGAATTCATCCCTGGTGTGAGTTTTAGTGCTGGCTCTGAAAAGTCCTAAATCTGTGAATTTAGTGGCAGGAAGATTTTAAAGACAGTTAGAACTTTCATCACGTCTTCGTTTTTATGGGTTTCTATTTTTGGTTTGGTTTGTATTTAATGTTAAGGTACTCTTCTGGAAGTTCTCAGCTTGCTTATAGGCAAGAGTTCCGTTACCTTGGCAACCAAGCCTTGGTCCATGTTGACGGAATTGAAACAGATAAGTGGGGCTTCGGAACCAAGGTTTGTCGTTGTTTCATTGACTGCTTCATTATGTCCCTGAAAAACCATTAATGCTTTCTGCTAACACTTATTATTTAAAAATATGATATTTTGGGAGAAGACCACATCAAAGTTTAGACAAAAATTTGTTAGGTTGCCATACATCAAATAAAGCCAAGAAGACTTAATACCCCCCCCCCCCAAAAAAAACCCAAAACAAGAAGAACGTATGAAAAAAAAAAAGTATGAAAAAAAGAAGAAAGTATGAGAGCGGTTTAGTTTCCTACAATCTCCCAGGTTCTTAAACCCGTGCTTGATTAATCACATTTTTTTTGTCGGAAAACTATTTTCTTTCAATAAGTGTTAGGAGCAAAAGGCAACACTGCCGAACATATTCTATCCTTCCTTGCTGTTATTATCTTGTCATATATTTTACACTGTGGACACTAGAACACATGATGACCAACATTTGTAAAAATTATGCATCTGTTACAGAAGTAGTGGATCACCAGATGAAATACCCGTGCTTTTGAAAGACCCTGTAGCAACATTGATAAATCTGGTACTGGCAATGCAACATCCAATATCGAAAGGTGCGTTGAGATTAAACATAGACATTTTGTGCACATAATGTATAATACGGAAAAGCCAAGCAGTTTATTGTTATGTCTTACACTTAGTGTAAGGTGCAACTTGCTTTATTTTACTTCATCTATATAGATAGATGTGCAAGAAAAATCCACTCTTTCAAACTTTAACAATTTACTTAATTTTTATTTTTATTTTTTCTCCCCAGAGCATTTCAGTTGCATCGTGAGAACATTATATGCTCCACTGTACATACAAGCTCTGTCTGTTATCAGCTGTAGAATGCCGGACACGGAGAGACGAGCATGGGCTGAAAGTGGCAAGACGTGTCAGGTATAATGTGATAGAATGCAATACAGAATAGGCATGTGTTACAAAAGCAGAGTTAGCTATAATGTTTCTGTTGATGTGTATTTCCATCTTTTTAACAATGTAAATTTGAAATTTGATTATTATTGTCCATTCACATAAATACCAATCTTCTAATCTTGAGAGAGCAGAAAATATTATTTTCTAGCAAACAATAAAACTCAACTAGTGGCTCAGAAATTGCGAATGCAAAATAGTGTATATAGTTTGTTATTATTACTGTATCCCCCAAAACATAGTACAAAGTGTGTCAAAGACTCAGGCAACTTTGTCGTGTAGATATCGTTAGTTGAATTTATGACTTGTGACATTTACCATTTTATTTTTCTCATGCTTTATGTTCACAGGCTCAGTCCAACGAATTACAAATGCAGCCCTTACTGAGCCAAGTTATTAACATGTATTCCAACAGTACACTGTATGACGATACAGACTTACTGGAGAGATTAGCAGTAAGTTGTATAAATACATTTCTTATACTTCTTCACAATGATCCAAAGATTTGTTTATGTAAGCAAGGGCCAAACAGTTTGCTCTATAATTTTGTGCTTGTTAAGTTGGTTTAGACTTACACAACTCATACGTGTATGTTTAGCTATCCATAACTGTTATTGACCGTTTTAGTGTTTTGCATCGTGTAGGCATATGCATACGCTGACCGGAACCGTTACCAATAAAAGCAGTAATAAAAAATGGCAGCCTCCAATGAAAGCCCCGCGTCCGTGGCTAATCCTGCTTTGAAACACAGACAAATTGCACTTATGTCTTCAGCAATGCATCCTCTTTCAAGCAAATCATACATGATTCAATAAATTAACACAGAAAGGGGTGAAAATGGACAACTGACTATGTGTTTCACACTGATGTATAGTGTGCAAGATATCGCGTGTACGTGCCACGTACACGCGAAGTAGATAGCAAGTTGTGTATGGCCAAAAACCTATTAAAGTGATGACAGATAAATGTGGCACGCTAACCATATCCGTTCGCTTGTGAAACCTCTCTATTAAGTTTCAACAATCAAACTATGTACGTCAGTAATCCACTTTGGGGATAGAGCTTTCACTTGGAGAACTCTCTTGCAATGTTGACTGTTTGTTCTGTGCTCCAGATATGCCAGTCGGTATGGACCCTTCAATGCATTGAGACTGCCGCACAGGAATACTGCCTGCCGTTCCTACGCATTGCTGCCCTAATGCAACATCATCTGTTTAGAGATGAACTACCAACGTGTCAGGTGAGATGAGCTTGATCTAAGTCAAAGAACAAGAGAACAAACAGGGATAAACATGTAATCAAGCAAAATTAAATCCTTGTTCCTAATTGGTTGATCCATGGCAACGACAGTGTGATATTGACCTATTTGACATGGGCCATATTGCATGGATGTATTGCAAGCTATTATAGGATGCGCGCATTTTGTATGTATGCACGCATGTTATGTTTGTGTGTATTTGTTAAGCAATGAAAACATTGCTAAGAAAAACAAAACAGCAGGAAACAACTGACACATTACTTTAGTTTGGTTAGAAAAATCCATAAACAATCAGAATTTTAGTTGATAGTCAGTTTCCCGGGTACTCAATTTGCATGAAAAATAAAATAAAAATAGCAAAATTTACTAACCACGCCTTGATAAGAGAGAAGTCCACAGTGATCTTTCTTGTAGATTGTAACATACGCAATTTAATTACCATTAAAACATCCAAATGTTCATATACATGTATGTATCTTCTCTGCATTTACAGAAACAAGATCTGGAATTCGAGTTGCTCGTCAATTACCTCCGTCTGTACACAGCGCCCTCTGTTGGTGAGACACCAGCCGACCTGTACAGCGCGCGATGTCTGCATTTCGTTGGCAATCCATCAGAATTCATGAAGGCCTGGTGCCAAGACCTCCTGACGTTTGTCAGGAAAAACCGCAAAACTGCCAAGGTAAACCTCCCACGGTAAACCTCCCACTTCCCATTCCAAAAGCCATGCTTGCCTTGTCTTTGAGAACACGTGCTTCATGTGCGTTAGCATGGTACCACCGCAAAAGTGGCGTCTCATATTGTTTGGCGAATTACACTATATATGAAATAATGAACTCCAATCTTGCTTCCATTTTTCAACAGAGCCTGCTGTTGCATAACCCAATCTTCTACCCTCCACGCCTCCTGCAACTGCCCAAGAATTACGACGCCGTCTTCCAGTACTACCGAGAGCAGAGGTGCCAGAGTTGCCTCCAGGTGCCCAATCGTCCCGCCGTCTGTCTGGTGTGTGGCGCCCTCATCTGTCTGAACGGGGCCAGGTCTGGCTGCCAGAGGTCCAGTATTACAGAGGTAATTGATGATTGGTCAAATGCATCAGAAGAAGTTTCTGCTAGACGGGTGTGCATTTAAATGTTTGTCTGCACAGAAGTTTTACATTAGTCAAAGTTTGCTGGGAGAGGGTTAACCCGGAGTATAAAAATACCTCCGTTTCTCAAGGAGCCCACACCTTTATTGCGGAAACGGAACTTAACGAGCTAAGTTAAGGTCACCAATAACAGAGGATATCAATGCCAAAGAAATGTTGAACCTTGATATATGACTACCCTTTGATAACTTGTGATGATAAATATTATACGTCTTGTATTAAAGGCTCGACACTTCTGTATTGAGATGATATAACACATAACACAAAATTATGACATACATGTAGCTGTTGCAAGGTTTAAATTTTATTTCTACAATAATCTTCTTGTTTATCATATCTTGTGTCCGCCTCTGAAAGCTACACATGCAAGCTCATTCTGATACACCTTCAAATTTACTTCTTTTCTTCCTGAAAACAATCCTCTACAATAAAAAAATATGACAAGGTCATTGAAATCACCCATTTACATGCAGGCTTTTGCTGTCCAGTATACATAGTTTGTCAATATTTTTAGGAATACACTGTACTGTTTTTCCAGATCATCACTGATTTGATGCGTGTTTTTGACCATTTACAGCAGCACTATCTATCCTGTGGAGCAGGGACTGTCATCTATCTGGACATTAATTCTTCCAGTGTGGTCATCGTCAGAGGCGAAAGGATCTGTCATTGGGCCTCTGTGTATCTGGATAGGCACGGGGAGGAAGACAGGGAACTCAAGTAAGTCGATTGTTGAGGCACATAAGATCATTTGCATTATCCCAAAGGTAACCTGCTGAATTATTCTAAAAGCTTACTTGGATTAAAGATCGTTCCCCATGAGATTATTCCATCTGGCTTGTTGTCAGTTGACTGATTTTTGGAAATAAAGAGTGCTATAGACAAAATTGTGTTCCTCGATCAAAAGCTTGTGCATGGTTGTCACTGTTTTCTCGAAAAGTGTAATATCCACTGAGCTGAACCTTCAATTGTTGGGTACGCAACATTCGTCTTTGGATGTGAATGGTGTTATGATTGATGGACCATAAAAGCCACTCGTCAAAGACAAGTGAGCACATGTCCAGAATACAAGACTGATATCCAACACAAACTGGCATCCTCAAAACAAGTTGAATTGTATGTTATTCCTCTTTCAGACGAGGCAAGCCGTTGTTCTTATGTCTTCAACGTTACAAGGTGTTGGAACAACTCTGGAGAAGCCACAGCTTCAATCACTGCTGCAAGAACTGGATGTGGCATCTGACTCATCATCACTGAGTATAAAGGGTTAACCGCTAAGATTTCCAAATACATAGTTTTTTAATTTTTAGATACACCTTTATAATTTTGCAGCCAGATTTGAGATGGAGACAATCACAAGTCAAATCACAAGTCAAATCACAAGTCAATATACATGTATATTGACAAATACATTGGCGTTACCATTGTAGTGTGAACAATGAATAGATAAACGTCTGTATCAAGGCCTTCTAAATCGACGCAATTTCGACAAATAAGGGAGCCCGCATTTGATATATTTATTGAGCCACGTCAGGGTATTAGCCTAGAGGAAAATAATTATATTAAGGGATGCCAAAATTTGTTCTTTGAGTTTATGAGGACATAGAATGGGTGTATATGCACATGTATGTTCTTAGTTTCTGATGAAATGTGAGAAATGTTTGTATGTGTGTCACTTATTCAAGGGAAGTTATCTATATACATGTTGTACATGTAAACTTCAGTATTGGAAATCGCCCACCACCAACATAAATGTCGGCAGCACATACTCAGTCGGGCTGAGAGCTTGTTGGCTCAAAGTCACAAGCTTGCTCGGTCAGCATTCAAACCCACGACCTCCTGCTTACCAGTGCAGACGTCTTAACCATTGAGTTTTATGGGTTGGCTGGCTGGGTTCCCATCGTAAATCATTTATTTTATTCCCATAAAAATTTAGGTGTGCAAGGGGGGGGGGGGGGGCAACATTCTTGCCGACTTGCCAGAACCATGTTCAATCAAATAGTTTTAATTATACTTATTGTAACATTCAGACTGACAACCGTCTACATAAATTTTACCACGTGGGTTCAACCTTTTGGATTTGATGTTTGTATACAAACTGTTTAAACCTGTCAAATTGTATAAATTTATTATATTCTAACTTAAACAAGTCAGAAGTTATTTCTAGAATTTGGCTTATGTAAACAAGACTCATACATCATATACACCTAGCTTGTTAACTTCTTGTGTTTATAAACAAGACGTATATGTCTTGCTTCTTTACAAACAATAAAACTTGCCCTGTAGAGAACATGCTTTCTGAATATTTTGCAGTTTTAGCAGTTCAAACATTGTTTAAGAACTGTCTGGACAACATCGGTGCCTTATCTCCCATCGAACAGCGCCACCACGTGTCAGATGATGTCCAGACTCGTGCTCATTGATCTCTCTCAACAGAAGTATTTTATAGTTGGTACTTCCTGTCCAAAAAAATACTGAATCATGATCATCTTGCATCGAAAAGCAGTTCTTATTCATACTAATATGGAAGGATTCCTGGAGTGATTTCAACAGCATAGAAAATAACAGCAATGACATCTTTGTCATTTCAATGCGGTTATCGCTGTAAATAGAACTTCGCCTCTTGACATTTGGCCCCGCGTTATCGGTTGTATTTCACGCTCTTTTGAAGAGTACTGCGATAACCCTTCAGATGCTCCATGGTGACGCGCGAAAACTGTGAAATACTATGGAGTATCGTTTGTAAAAACAGCGCAAAAAACAAACAACGCACCAAGCCTAGAATGATTCAGAATTTTGTATTCTTATGGAAATGAAAAATTCACTTCTGCCGTCGCATGGAACTTGCCTATAATTTTTATGTATAAAAAAAACACACACATGAAACAAGAGGCACCAGACTAACGAACATGAGCTTAAATACTACATCACATGCATGCATGGGCTAGATATCGAGACTACAATGTTTGCAATGTGACGTAGCAATAACATTGTTTACAGTTGCACCATGCAACAAATCTATTTTGTGAGTTTGTGAGGTTCCAAAAACAACCGGAAGAAATTTAACGATTCGGCGCGGACATTATGCTTTAGGTATAATTGCTCATTTCGTTTTTAAGGAAAGGGATGAGTTTTTCTATTCATACTAACTATCAACAAAATGTCAGATGTTTTGAAGTCTATGCATGTACCGCACTGACACCCAAACATTGCGGTTACGTTGGCGAAGTCATACTTTTACCTCTCTTCAACACATACATTTAATCCCACTTTGTATCTCATCTGCATCATCACTTTTGAAAATGTTATGTCCTCTCCAAACAAGATTGTTCTGCATAAGTGCTTAGACCAAATGAATTATTATGGACGGAATGCTTGTTTTAAATCGGGGCCCTCACAATCAATGGACATTTATATGCATTTTCTACAGCCTATCCAAATCTATTACAAAGAAGTAAATTAAAACAATGTTGCAATACTCCCCAGGCTTGAGGAAACGTCCCGTTAGCATTTTTAATCTATAGAAATATCTATTTGTTTTGCTGTTAAAGCCGTCAATCCTAAACCGACGGGCATTATTGACGTGCTGGATCACTTCCCCTCAATGGTGAAATGCAGCTGGTCGGAGATGCAACGCATCAATAATTCAGCACTGGATGCGTTTAACTCTCACCTTTCGTTATCGGAGAGAGAAACAAATACTTGAGGTGGAAAAAATGCTGCTCCATTAGAAACGTAAAATACTGCAAGGGGCAGTCGACTTTTGAGGTTAAGTGTGATTAATAAAGGTGACTTTTACTATTTTGGGTAAAATAATGTTTCTGTTTTAAAAAAAAAATGAGACACCCATACTTTTCCCTGACAAGTTGGCACTGTTGCTGTGATTTCACTTGAGGGACACACTCAATAGTTCAGGGTTTTTGTGTAATCATGTTGAAGCTACAATGGAACTCAATAAAACAGTCATACGTAATGGTAAAGCTGTCGCTGACTGGCTTTCGGGACTAAAATCCACGCAGAAACATACAACAGTTAGTACTAAACCAAGGGAAACACCGAGGTCGCAATATCAATTTGTGGTTATTGGAGGAGTCGAAATCGAAAAATGAAGGATTGGATTCGAACTTGAATTTTTAAATAGCTCGTTTGGGTTTCATTTTGGTCAACACAACTCGGACAAAAGAAACACTAAACAAATGAAACCACATTCACATTATGAATATTGCTATCAATTTGGTTGATGCTTTCAAAACTAGATTTCGCTCTCGCAGACAAAATGAAAATATTGATGTTTATTTTTTCAAGTCCAAGGCAGCAACACTTATTTTTCTCTGCGATGAGCTAAATGAACACAATGCACATGAATTAAAGCGTAGCAAGTGCTCACATGTTGCCGTCACGAAACGGGAATTCTGGGGAAAACATATAAGACCAAGACTTTTCACCTTCGACGTATTTATTGAGGGGCACGATATTTCATATGTTACCTCAGAATCAATAATATCGGAAAATATCTCCCTCGCACGTTAGGATCAATAAATACCTCTGAAAGTGAAAGCATAAAAAAACATATTGTATATCAATGTGGCCGATACAGTCACATTAAAGAAATATCAGCACCTTGTAAACCATTATGAGGTGCTACATAATGGGCCTCATATTTCTCATAAACTTTATTTACCTTTCTTTAATAATTGATATAATTTCCAGCGCCTTGAGTACTTAAGTATCAAACACATACTCCTACTTTTTAACATTTATCTAGACAAGAGACACAAAATGTTTTACGAACAATATATCTTGATCGATTTCTATGAATGTTGTTTTTACTTTACGCAGCTTTAATATTAATTGCACATTAATATGATTTTTATTTTCAAATTGCACACATTTAGGCCTATATTTATCTTTACCAAATAAAATTTGTTTTTTCTTTCAGCCCCCAAAAGCGTAGTTGTGGAGTTTCAGTTTTATAAGTTCGTTATACAATTTCATTCTGATGCATTATATTATATTTATCTGCTTTTCAGGTGTTTTTTTTTTAGTTTTTGTTACGTCGTAAGGACCCATTTGTTCAACCATCGTCGACATTTTTCAACGGATGAAGCGTGAATTTGAGATTGGACTCGCCGGTCGATATCACTCAATTCCCCCTGCTCGATGAGTGTGTTCGGGTCTGGGAGGTCGACAAACCGAGTATCGTACCCAGGGAATGTGATCTCAAATGATTTCTCCCGGGCTAGTTGCCAGTCGCTAGGACCTAAACTTGTCTGTGAGGGTCCGGGGTCTTGGCTGTCCATCGGCTGATGCAAACTGTCCTGTGACTTGGAGATATGCCGTGTCTTATGTTGAAGGTTGGGCTGTGTTTTGTGACGAGCTTCGGCACTGGGTATGTCCTGGTCAGACTGGCTTCGGCCGGCGTCCAAATTTGACCCACGGCGTTTCCTCGTCTGAAGCGCGGGTGGGTTTGTCATTCCCCGCCCGCTCGACTGAGACCGAGCTCGTCTCGGCACCACGGTATCCGGCGTGTATCTCCGTCGAACCTCACGACGCCTTGGGTTGGTTTTATACTCCTCCAGTCTGGTTAAAGCGTCGTTGGGACTGCGATCGGTGGTGGGTTGGGCTCGCAACACGGCCCCGTTTTTGTAAACAGCCGCTCTGGGTCGACGCTGGGCGTGATGGTGCGACATTCCCGCCGATGCCCTCCCCGCAGAAGAACTTGCCGAACTGCAACTAGGCACAGAGTTTTGAAAAATCCTGTTACTACCTCCAGGTCTTCTAGCTGCGTGTGGTAAAGGTTCTGCATAAGCAGTTGTGAAATGCTCGATGACAATGTTGGAGTTGCGAGGAAGCGTTTCCGTCTTCGCAAGCTCCTCGCGCTCACCGCCGGCATTGAGCTGTCTGGATGGTGCGTGATTCTTGTCATCAATGTTTGGCAATTTCAGTTTAGGTTTGGCGTCAGAGGACTTTTTGTGCCCCTCGTGCTGTCCTAGAACCGTCTGGACGACAGATTGCTGGTATATTTGGCTTCTCTCACGGCAGATCTGTTCCATGACTACCCTGGCCTGCAGGGAGGAATCAACACAGCTGATAGGCAAGTGAGACTCCCTCGTCTGCTTTCGCCTACGACTCGCACTCATCACGTTACCGCCATACCGTCCACTAGGCGCTGCTGAGCTGTGCGATGAATCCATGGAGAATATGGAATCCAGATTTTGAAATTTGCTGCAATTTCACTATACAAACACTCATCAAGGTGTTGAACTCACTGTTTGTTTATGATCATTTCTATTGAGTTATTAGCAGCTGCATGTTACAGCCTAATGCCTACCGCCAATCCACAACACCGGTAGATTCGTTCTGCATGCACCAACTGATGCATTCTAAGCGGTTGATGTATGGAGAATAATATACATCGGTGAATATAACTGTTTGGATTTTTGCGTCGATATCAGTTAGCCAGTGCTCGGTCAAATGGTGTCTCCATCTGCTGTAAGACTGGTATCCTCACTATTGTATATTCCCTGTCCGTATGTGGGATGTGTCGAGAACGACTCATGGAGGTATGGCTCATCAATGGTAGCGCTGGTTACCCTGTACAATGTAGCTGCTCTAAGCAACAGCACAGCACGGTTGACGTTTTCACCAAGTTGGACGCGTCGAAAGGTTACCACGACAAAGTGTATACGCTAAGGAATCAATATTTTATTTCCACGCAGCTTCTGGCCCAAAATGACGCATCTAACAGCCTACATGCGGATTTCACACTGAAGTGGGTGTTAACTTATGATCTAGACTCCAAGCAAGATTTCAGTTAATCTGATTTCCAGTTGAATGTTTGCTCTGTCTGACGAGTGCTGATAACGTTTCTCCTATTGTTGCGCTCAAGAATCGAATATGCTTGTTTTTCCAGGCATATTTGTATAAATGATCAGTTTAGTAAATTGCATTTCAATGGCGATGGCATGCCGTTTTCAAGTGGCGTGCAAACTTCAAATGATCGAAGGTCAAATGGTGGTTAAAGCGAAGGAAACTGAGCTTTTTAAAGGATTTGGTGGGAAAAGTTGGGCAGTATTCAACCCATTGCTTTGTTGCGGATAACAAAAAAGTGAGTACTGTGTAAAATGGAAATGTTTTAATAAGCGAACTTACAACTTCATTTGCAATTATTTAACGGAGAAAATGATAGGTCTAAATGGGGGGGGGGGGGGGAATAATATGCGCCATATAAATTTAGGGTCTTTAAATTCAGCGTGACATTTTCCCCGTCACTGTTTCCGGCTTGGTACATTAATTGCCATTCACGTATCATTAAGAATGATCTTCAAGTATTTTGTGTTTTTATTTGTTGGGAATAGTTTGGTATCTATTCATAATCACTCTTTGAGGACTGCATTAAGGGAGGGATTACTAATTATAGTATCATTATGTCAGCTACAGGGGGAAAAAATTGGACCTTATACATGTATTAAATAGACCGTTGTCGGAACCAAATGAAAACCCAAAAGCAGACTTTTCAGATAGCTGTTGGCTTTACCAAAAATAGTTCTTTGATTTCAGTTAAATGTTTAATACGAGTTCGGCCGCACTGCAGCTTTAACCTGGTCGCCAGTATTACTGTCGCCGGCCGACACTGTTGATGTTTGATGGCAAATAATTAATGAATGTGCACCTGTTTGCACAATGGCAGGCAAGTGGCACATTTCCAGCAGCTCAATGTACATCCAATTGCCTCCCACCGCGAATACACACAGAGAACTTGGTCAAACTTTAACATCCCGAAGTGATAAACGATGTCAATATTTCAGGAAGACTGAAACAACGTCGTCCTCGCGTGTATTGTTGAAGTGTTGGTTAGGTTGGAATTTGTACTCATTTAATATAATAAAACACAATACCAATTCATTCATACGACAAAACCTCAAGTAGGCATAACCGTCAACCTTTATTTTAAAATACTGCCAACACGTATTAACAGTCTTACAAGCAGAAACCAAAATATAGAATTATTTATAACCGTCTACTGTTCATCATTTCGTTATTTCAAAGATAAGAAGTACATAATATTGTGCTATGGAGAAAAGTTTACAGATCTAGTTCTTTTTATTCTTCATTATTTGTACAGACACAAGGCTAGCAGGAACAGGATACCAAAAATAAACAAACAAACAAACAGACCGGCTGATGAGGAGCTCGGCAGCAGACGAGAAATTCTTGTTGCGATTTATGATATTTGTGTCTATTTTGTGTGACTTATACCTGCTCTTAATAATGTTTTTTTTTTTTTACAGAATTTAAAAGCAGGTTCTTTGAGTTAATAATAGACATGTGTGCATGTGTGAAAGATATCGCGTGATTGGGGAAGTTGAAGCGATTTTGTGTCCCAGTGCTTTAGGTCTTTTATTTTTGAAATTTATCTAGGTTAGTGACTATACTTGGTTGCAGAAAAATATTGAGTTGAGTGTGACCATAAGGTGTCATTGTTGCCTCGTTAACGCTGGTACACTCAGATCATGCAAACAGTGAATGCTGCGTGTGCATGTGAACCATCAATGTTATTCACTTTCTAGACGGTATAGTCGATCCGCTGCGGACTTGTTGAAAAGCTAACAGTAACAACTGCAGTAAAATTACAATGAATGAAAAACTGTAATATGTATAACATAACACGTTATTCAAGTATAAAATCAGTCACGTTATTATAAACCGGAAGGAGATGCATTTAAGGTTAACAGTTGGGAAGATTATCAAAGTGGTTACTTTTCACCAAAGTGGCGGTAAAAACACAATACATCTACAAAAAGTTTATTTCACAAAAAATCAATGAGTTCATTAGCTGAGAAGACTCGACCTAAACTTATAAAAAAAGTAAACCTGAAATTAATGTAATACTGCACTATTTTCCTTTTTTTGTGATGGAGAGCAACGTTACCATTCCAAAAAATAAATAACTGTGTTTTTCCAAATACAAATATTTTGTAAAGTTATTTACAGCCATATTATGTTGTCTCACTGAATACGACACAAACAATCCGTAGATTTGGTACCTTGTATTTCTCTCTGATAGGCAGACATGTCTAACGCAATTACACCTTGGCCACACTGCAAACATAAGTTGAAAAGGAGAGGAAAAAAAAGAAGAAAGACATATAAACCTTTAGGTCGAGTTGTAGGTAAGCTCACATGCAAATTAATGTTTACGCCCATTTATGCTGAAGAATTATCTCAGATCCCTGAACTTAAGGATGAGCTGTTATTTAAGAAGCACAAATAGCTCCCTCTGCAAAGAAAACCTTTGCTGCAGCGCCCTCCTTTTTTATATTGCTGCATCCAGCAAGCACATTCTGGCATAGCTGCATTAAACAGGCATATTGCACTCAGCACTGAAATTCCGGTCTATTTTGTTTGCATTCTTCTGTGCCGCACAGTTTTTCTTGCTCTTCGTTCTAAAACATTTCGCAATGTTTGCAAACACGATACACAATGCTTTTGTGAAGCCATTCTCGAATAACATTATTTTCCTGAGCAAAGATATAGGCCCTACACATTTCATTCACATTTTGCTGATCACTAATCAGTGACATCGCCCTCAAGCAGTCTACCTACATTATAGTGACGGGTTGAACATCGCCCTCGTGCGGCGGAAGCCATGCAAACGCAACGCCGTTGTTTCCTTGATTCTCGTCACGGAGTATGGTCAATGTTCCGCAGTGGTGGAGCTTTGTGGCATCTGTCAACGCTTTGAATCGACCGAACGTTTGACCAGTTACACCGCCGATAGTCTGGAGGGCGTACTGCCTGACCCATGGGCGGCTGTGTGCATCTTTGTCCGGAGAATCTTCCAGAACGGAAACTGAAGAAAAAATGAAATTAAAAGGAAGGGTTTTTACTACCAGTTTAATCTGAGGCAACCTGTCATACATGTTCGTGTTTTATTATTGGTTGTGGTTATGCGTTTATTTACGTTTTTTTATAAATTGTTGAGCCCAAATCTCCACTTTAACTATTTAACGAGCTCTCATGTCAGCAAAAAATTGGAGTGCTGATCAGTTTTACCGTTAATTAGCAATACTCATCAAGCATTTACATCCATCTCAGTATCGGGCAATCACCATAAACGTCCATTACGGTCTTGGACTTTACTACAGCCTATTTTGTTTAAATTAACAAGATCCGACTAATAACCAAACATGTAGACAATTATATTTTTTTAAAGAAAAATCAAATTGACGAGAATTCGAACCTTTGAAAAAAAAATGTTTTTTAATGCAATAGAGAGAGAGAGACTTCATTTCAGCCATTGATTTTCAAACCGCTAATCCATAACAGCAACTACTCCTAGTCATATAGGCACCTGTTCACGCCTGGGTGGAGAGAAGCAATTAGTGACACAAACACACGCACGCCTGAATGCTGCAACATCACTGGCTTGGGTGTAACCGTGAGCCTTCCGAGTAGGCTATTAACGATCTACGTTGCCGATAAACGATCTGAATTTGTACTCAATGATAGCCTGACGTACAAGTCACAGGCAACGACGATACTGCTTATATCATGTTTCAAGAATGTCAGTCTGTTAATTCGATAATAATGGGAATCAAATGTCATCCACTAATACGACGGATTTCTCCACGTCATTTGTGATTATGGACAATTTATTCAGATTTTCTTGCTTAATTTTGAAATGATTTTTTTCTTTGCGATTGCTTAAAACGCTTGTGGTTTCTGGTGAAGCGAGCGCAGCGCGCCCCGCATCATTACCGCCTAATGCAGACTGTCTAACCATGTTCCGTGCGAAGGAAAGGACCACGCGCGCTAAACGTGCATGTCACGGCTAACTTCACTTAAAACAACAAGAACACTGGTTCGTATGGCTTGTTGTATGTAGAGTGCGGGATTTTGACGTTCATGGTGTATTGGCCACGTTCAAGGTCAGCGCCACGAATATAGCTTTTATTTTTACCACACGTCTCGCAAAAGCCAAATGATTTTAAGCCCACATATTATATACTTTGACAAACCTCTGTCCTTAAGATCTTAAGAATGCACCATAATTGTCGGTGTTTCATCGGGTGGCATTGTCGAATCGTCTTTCAGACGGAAGCAGACTCAATTAGAATTCAACGTTGCCCTTTAGTTTTGCTCCATCGTAGTGGCATTCATGTCTAAAACAACGAGTTGTATAAGACCCTTGAGTTGTTCTGTTCATTTGAATCCTTGACATTTATCTGTTCAGTTTGTCCAATTATTTAGCATCGCTGGCAACTGTTATTGCTCATTCGAGGGAGTATCTTGAACTCCGTAGCAATCTGTATGATTTTATGCTTACGTGAATTTCTTTCCTAATGAGTACATGTGATGGTCTCATCTTCAACAAAAGCGTCAGTATCATAGCTATATTTAACCTTAAAAAAAACCCAGATATTTTTTTCTTTTCAACTTTTTTTGGCTGAGGTAAAATCTTCAGGTAGTGTTTTGCTTTTTTTTTTTTCGCAAGGGGAAGTAGTAAGCCCTATCATGATCCAAATAAATGCAAACTGATAGTCCTATATAGGCTACAGTTCAATTTTTTCCCAGTTCAATATTTGGTTTTTACAGTTCAATAATTTTTATCGCAATTGACCGATAAGTCTCAAATTTTGACAAGGCGAAAGCCAGTCCTCAAAATATGTGCGCATGTTTTGTTTAACTACAGACATAATGATAAATAAACGGATAAAACGAAAACGGACGGATAATGCAAAAATCAACGGATAAACCGAAAATCAACGGATAACCCGAAAATCAACGGATAAACCGAAAATCAACGGATAAAGCGAAAATGAACGGACAAAGCGAAAAATGAACAGATAAAAAGAAAATAAACGGATAAAGTGAAAATAAACGGATAAACCGAAAATGAACGGTTAAAGCGAAAATGAACGGATAAAGCGAAAAAGAACGGACAAAGCGAAAAATGAACAGATAAAAAGAAAATGAACGGATAAAAAAAAATGAACTGATAAAGCGAAAATGAACGGATAAGGCGAAATGCGGAAATGAACGGACAAAGCGAACAAGAACGGATAAAGTGAAAATGAACGGAAAGAGCGATAACAAGCTGAGCTCCCCGTGCTCTTCAACAATTTTTTTTTTTTTATTCCTTAATACTTTTTCAATTTGTATGTTTTATTGCAACAAAAAAAACCCTCACTTTCCTCCTTCTTTGACGTCTGCCACCCTCTGAAAACAATGTTTTGTTTTTGGCACAAACAGATCCGCTTGCGAGAAGACTGGCTCCCGGTCCGTACATTATCGATACTGATTGTGGGGCGGGAACCAGCCTAACCCGCGAGAATGGAATTATTGCCCGTCAGCCAATAATTCGAAATTTGTTTTAAAAGTAGTAGTTCAGTACCTAAACATCGGCCGATTTTTTTCGGTCGATGTCTCATGCAAAGTGAATAAGTTTTGTACCGCTCGAAAATAGCACATTAGAAAACAAATGTATTTTTCCAGATGAAATCAACATTAGCACGGGGAATGCAACTTGAATATAATTCAGATGACATTTAACTTGAATTGCGAGAAACTTGAAGACAACTTAAACCTTCCTTATCTCGGGGTATCTTAATGCAGATGAACGCTGCGGTGCGGCCGAAAGGATTCGGAGAACTGTGGCACTTTGCAGATCGGTATCTCCAACTTTTCATTAACCCCTACAGCATGCTTGCGCGCCTTTGCCGGTCTTACGAAAGGAAAACATTTATTATGTCTTTAATAATATCTCGTAAAAAATATCGTCTAATCAATCCTAATTAATTCATGTCATCAGGGATAATGATTTCGGAAAACCGAAACACGGAAAAATGAGGAAACATATTACATTTATATTGAGTGCCATTGCGTAATAGTATAACCCAACAGTGAACATTTTTACATCTTTTTTTTTGCATTTATGTTTGACCTACAGCCGAAATAAAACCAAAAATAATATAAATGTACCTGTCCTCGGATTAAGCAAACGATTACAAACCTTTTTTATAATTCAACGTGTGTGACTGGAAAACCAAAATGCAACGGACAATAAACGCTACTTTGAAGTCTTTTCAAAATTAACCTTAAGTAAAAAGTGCAACCAACCACAAACAACATCCTTCCGTTTTGAAAAAAACAATTAAGTCCTGTGCTGTGTACAATTTTATTACTAATCTCACCAATAACATGTTGTCCTGGCGTGTAGCTATTAAGCTCAAAACGCTGCGTATGAATCTGTCCTTCGGCGGTAACTCCAACGACTTCGTCAGCGGTATCTGACTGCAGGCCTGCCGGTAGGCCACGGCATGCTGCTCGCCTTGCGCCCGCTGGCAAGGCCTCCGTGTGGTTATCCGCCACCAGCACGCTCAAAGCAGCCATCAAACAAAGATAATAACTTCCACTGATGATGCGGCGGAAGTTCAACTGTGCCTCCATCCTTGTGATAGCAATCAAATGTTCTGCTCTATCAGAGAAATTTTCATTCATATATCATCCTCAAACAACACAATATCTCTCAGACATCGAAATTTCCCGGAAACTGATTAAATTTAACCAGGTTCTGGCTTATATAGATTGTACATGCAGCGCTCACTGACAAAAGGTTGACACGTCGCTGTATTCAGCCAGACTCCGCTCCGCCATTTCATGGCCGTTTCGTCTCTTGACTCAGCCCTAATTTAATTAACAGGCTGCGATTGTCTTTCTATGTCTCCGTATATGAAATGATTGCAAGCTATCTCTCAGACGGTACTGGGTGTATAATCATAATGAATCAGATTTTTACCCCCGGAAATCAACTGTTGGAGTTGTTGATTCAAGGTAAGACCTCACTCACTCTCCCGACACCAACCACCCGCCGTTTTATCGGCAATGAGACACGTCTAAAGCACCCAACTGGTAGATAATGCTAGGGAATAATCGACAGATTCGACATCAATCTTCGCCCACTACATATTAATACCATTCACCGTGTAGAATTTGTCTAGCATTTGCTTAATTAAAATTATCTTTTATTTATGGTCATGGTTGATAATCAAGGATTTGTCCACACAATAAATAACTCTCGGATGAGATACAACATGTACTAAGTTTCTTCAAAATTGAATAATCATACAAGAACTGACATGAAATGATATTCTCCCGTTTGCAATCACTAGTATATGACATCCATAAAGGTTTCTTAGCTTAAAGCTGAAGTGTAAAGTAGATTTTCATACACTTTTATTGGTTTAAAGATACACATATACAATGCGAGATATCAGAAAGTTAACTGCATAGTTAACAGCCTGAACATGAAAGACACATGAAGACAGGAATGACAAGTGTGCAGTTGATATACATTTCAGCCCAGGAGCAACACGCAAATAGATCAACAAACGAAAAACCAGAACAAACTCAGATTGACTGGTCTCCTGTAAGAGCATTCCTTTTTGTATTATTTTGGTTCTCATATTGCCCACTATGTCACTTTACTCTCTGTTGACTAAATCATCCTCACCTCGCAACTTCGGGCGTGAGTCATTATGTTCCTACCTCAAGCTTATCCCCCCCCCCCGACTTTTGAATGTGACATGAGTGTTTTTATCATCGGTGTGTATGGCAGTTTATTGACTGGTCTGCATTTTTTCCTGTAAGAGCATTCCTTTTTGTATTATTTTGGTTCTCATCGCCCGTTTGAGGATCACACATTCACGTGTGCAGAGCCATGGACGAACGTCTGATGCATCTTAACATGTAAATTGTATGATGCGACCCCGCTCGCCAGCCAATTGGAGTCGATATTAAAAACTGTGACGTCATTTCGATCAGAAAATGTGGACTTAGCTGTTGGTTGGTCAATTTGGCTGCCATGTTTTTTGTAATACAATCAACGGGTTACCGAAGACCCGATATAGAAGGCGCGGCTGCTGAATTGTCAGAATCGCGAGGTCAAGACACAGTCTTGTTTTACATAATTAATTACCGAATCTGCTCGCATTGCCGTGAAAGGGGATATTCCATACACTACTCATTTCCGACCGACCCTATTTTGGGCTCCTGACCAAGGAACAAACAAATATTACCAACGTCACTGTTCCCCCCCCCCAATTCGGACATCAGGCTCTGAGTTTTTTTTTTGAAGTTATTGAAAATAATATCCGCTTTTCCTTGAAGATAACTTTCCGCTCTCACTATACAGCCCAAACGTTGTGCAGATATTATGTTACTATATCAATCTACATCTTGCTAAAGATGGTTTTATTATCTTATTCAGTGATATCATTTCATGATTATCTCACTGCAATAAACAAAACAAGAGACAATAATCAGTTGGCATCATTCAATTTAGTTATCGATATTGTTGCAACTTCATTCAATTTCTTCAGACTGACCTTTCGTCAGAGACAAACAATTATGAAGAAATGAAAAGGAACGCAGTAACGAGTATGCTTAGGGGTCGGGGCCCCGCTCGCTGGGGGGTGGTTGTATGCCCCAAGGCATAAACACGAAGGGTATTGTTTAGGAACAACAGTCCGGAGAAGCCTACCTCGGCCATGCTCAACATCTAGAGGATGAGTTGTAGTGTATGCTTTTTCAGAATAATTGGGGAATCTTGGGGAGACTGATTGACACGGCGACAGGAAATGCGTTAAGTTCGATCAACTGAACAACACATTCCTTTTGATATATATACGTGATTTAGGAAGAAGTGTTTCCGTCATTTTAGCTGTCCATGGAATTCTACACATTCTTCTTTAACCCCGGAACTTCGAGACTTCCATAACCAAAGGCATCCAATTTGTTAAGGATTTCAAGTCCATATACAAAACAATATACACAGTGACATTTTAATTGATGATCTGAATGTGACGATCTCTTTTATCGAATATTACTTTTTCAATTTCAATTGGTGTGTGTGTCGATTTCACTTGTTTATAAGGAAGCTTTGTCATCTTCTTCCGTTTCCAGTTGAACTCGACCGGAAAAAAACCTCTTCTTAAAAAGTAAAGCCCAGACTGGATGGTAAAGATCTTGAGCACTAACGTGAAATCGAAATCTTTACAAAAAAGGAAAAAGAAAACAGAGGCTCACATACTAACAAAAGAGATCTTTTTACATGGTGTAACCGCAAAATTACTTTTAGGCCTACTTTAAAAAAAAAATAATGGAGAAGCTTATCATGCTTACTCGCAGTAGAATTTGAATTGCGAAGGAGCCAGATATAACGTGGTCAAGACGAAGGCCTGTAAAGGTGCCTTAGGCAGCCGCCATACGACCCATGTCTGACCACGGAGCACAGCAAGATCGTTAGTGTTGATTTTTTTGCGGAGGGAGGAAAACCGGAGAAAACCCCCCAACGAACAACTCTTACTCACACAGGACCCCACCCGGGCCACGGCGGTGGGAGGCGAGCGCTTTACGCACTGCGCCACCCACGCACCCAAATCACTTGCGACGGTCGTTTTAGTTTTCGACTGGATTCCCATTCACTGTGGATTTTTCAGTTAGTTTTTTATATAACCCTAATCACAAGCATAGCAGGGGCGGATCTAGTATTCCGTTAGGGGGATTGATATGAAGGTGGGGGTGGGGGTTGAGTGGAGGCGTGTCTTGCTAGGAGGAGATCCGGGGTTTGCCCTGGTAAAATGTTAAAATCTAAGATGCTTTCTTCTCCTGCATTCAAAGGCAATTTCAGAATATATTTAGAAACTTCAGTTTTGGGCCTCACTTTACTAGTTTCATAACATCCCCTACCCCCTCAATCTAGACCCACATAGTTATTTTGAATGAATTCCAATTACTTTTATTTACAAAGGTCAGCTGGGGGTGACGTTTGGCTGTACCACTGTTGTTATCTTTGGCAACGACACACTTATCTTTTAAATTCTATACTGAAAACAGGTACGATGGTTTAGCCTATTGTATGTGATATAGGCCTATACTCTGCAGGCTCAGGCCTACACAAGACATGGTACAAATGTCAAAGCTGTTGAAAACTATAGAACATAGAAAAATACCAGAAAATGTTCAAAATGCCGGTCTATGTAAAAGGAAAACAGACAAAATATTGACTGCTTTGAGTGGTGTGGTAAGACTAGCCTCCCGTGGTGATCCATGCAGCGTTCTGTTTCCCGAGGCGAAGCCGAGAGAATTCAATGGAACACTCCCCGGATCACCGAGGGAGGCTAGTGTTACCACACCACGAGTTAAAGCAGTCGATATTTGTTTCATAACGCATCAAATACTGATTCTGCTTGATTGAAAGCGCTAGATAATTTAACCAAAAATCCAATTAAAGTTGGTGTATATGTGCTTTTGGGTGTGGCACCTTGAAAAACAGATTTTCAACTTAAATTGAATATTTTTCTAGCATTACATTAGTTATGAGCTTTCCAATGAGACATCGCACGAAAAAAATCGGCCCTTGAAAAGTAATCAATTAATTAATTTCAACTTTTGAATTAAGAGCGGAACGCTCCTAATTCGTTCTGAATTTAAAACCACTTTTTAAAACCGTATAAATGCCTGCAAAAACAAACAAGCAAATTTATTTGTTGCAGGACATTATATTCCTTTCAATTTCGTTCGCAAAAAAAATATCGAAATTTTGAAGAGCACGTATTTACCAACTTTTAAGTATCTAGGCCACACAATCATAACTTGGTCGCATTCACCTAGGTACGGTCGCCCCAAAGAAAATCAAACTGGTTACATTGTACGGTAAGTCCACCTTTTCTGGGGTAATCGGTCGCGCCTGACACTCGACAGCGCGCACAATTCTCGAATTTAAAAACAAAAGCTGCACGCGATTTCAGGGCGTCGTGACATTTCGTGACAAAAGGCGAGAACGCGTGTAATTCACGACGTTCGCCGCAGCGCACCTCGCTTACGCATTAGAGTTAATGGCTGGTGGAAACGAGACCTAAATGGTACACATTGCTGATGTCATCACGTGGGAAGTCCACACTTTATCTGCAATTTGACGGAATTATGGATGAATCAAAATGGAATAACATGCAGGCCTTTGCCACATAATATTCCCCCTAGCTCTGACTAAGCATTCTTCATCAGACCACGCACACATCATCATCCATCAATTTATGAGACAGTCATTCGTTTTTCTTTCCCAATCAACATTCCGCCCAGAAGAGAAAAATTCAACCCGACACCCTCAAATCAAATTCACGGCCTACTGGTTTTACGAGCAGAACACCAACTCCAAAGTTTTTGATGAGGGGTATATTATAGAACAATAGCCCCGCTAGCAATGGTCATTATGAAGGGATGGGGCTGGGAATTTATCACCTTGTTCAACTCCAGCGACCTTGTGATCTTCTGCGTAGTGGTTGCACGAACACCAACAAGTGCATGAAATACGGCGTCTCGTTCTCTTCGCGTGACGCATTCGCCTACACTCAGTGACGCAGGATCATATTTTCCCCCCGCAAAACAAAATGATGTGAAACCACTTTCCAAATGCCAGTGGCATCAACAACAAAATGGAGTCCAGTCCAGGATAGAAATAATTATTTGCATTGTTTGGTTCCAATTGTCATTAAAATAAAGAGATAATGGTTGACATTCAAATAGCGTGTCATCATGG